GAGTTACATGAGTTCTTTATATATTTGGGATACTTTTTATTGGATATGCAATTTGAAAATATCTCTCATTTCATAGGCTGATTTCTCATTTTGTTGAGTGTTCCTTTGTTGAACATTAGTTTAATCTGAGCTAGTCTTTACTGTGTCATTCATCAGCCACCCAGTCAAGCCTACAATGAAAGCAGTCCTCTGGAGACCTGCACAATGAGAGCTCAGCTTGCTCCAGAGAACCTGCCACTCGAAAGAGGAGGTACCATGTCTAGTGGCACAACAAGTGGGTGGGGTTCAATTCTCAGGCTCCACCAGATACGGCCCACATATGACTGTTTTTGGATCTAGTCTGATCAGTCACGGTCATGGTAGCAAGAGAGATCCCTGACATGCCTGACACAAACCATGTCAACTTCACAGGAGTAGGGTGATCAGCAAGCCTTTCCTTAGGAATGAGGGACCACTGCCTCTGCACTCCACCCTTTGCCTGCCGCGAACATTTCTAGGACTTTATACTGAGCATAAGCTAATACTTACAATAATTAACAAAAACTTAAAACCTAATGTCAAGTAACAATGAATTAATAACTTATGGTAGATACATATATAGATATACCAAATAGCAAATAAAAACAGTAATGCCACTTTTTGAGCTACAGATACAGAAGAGAGTAGGTGAGTTATGACCATGTCAAGCTAAATGATAGGTATTATGTCTATCTCTACTTCGCAGATTGAAACCCTGGCATGTAGAAGATATTTACTGACAGAAAAATCTTTACTTAGTAAACATAAGAAGTTATGAAACTGTAACATGAATAGTATTTGGAGATTTTTTTTGTTGTTCTTATATATTTTTTGTATTTCCTAATTGTTTCCACAATGAATTTGTATTATTTAGATAATAAACATAATTACAGGGGAAGAAAGTGCTTTAGTTAAAAACTTAAAAGTAATTCTTAAATAATTGAGATAATTTAAAAATATTCTTCATTCCTTAGTTGTTCCTCCTTATTCTATCAAACTTCTGTGCCCCACCACCCCTTTTAGTAAATCTAGAGACAGGGCAAATAGAGTTGGTTTCCTTAGTAATAGAAGCGAAAGCTCTCAAACACTCTTTTCTTTTTGTTTTTTCCATTAGTTTCTTTTAAAGCTGTTTGGATTTCCTGAGTAATAGATGTGCATACTAATTATCAGTTGAATTTTATTCCAGGAGCTTGAAAATGATGATTGTGAAAATAGCCTGAATCAAATCTTAAACCAACAATTTCAACAGTTTAAATAATTTTAAGTGGGTCACCATTTCCTCCCAAAATTTTCAGACACTACTATATTGCAATGTAAGCTGAAGGGTCTCTGTCTTATTGCACAGATGTCATCAAGGGTTCTCAGATTAAATATGAAGACTGTATTTGAAGGGTTCATTTACTTAAAAATTCAAGTTTAATAATTGAATAAAACATTTTTATTAAAACATATAAACAGGGGCCTCCCTGGTGGCCTAGTGGCTTTCTAATCTTGTTTTACTGACATCTATCTCTTCCTTTTTCACTTCAAACAGATGACATTTTGATGTTTTTATTAGGTTGGTATTTCATATCATTACCTTGTTTAAAAACTTCAACTGCCTACATGGCATTTGAAAAATATCTATACACGGACACTTTTTAACCTATAGCATTCTTACCTCTTTCTACTTTCTTTTTAACCAGTTTTCAGCTACTGAGAGTCTTTGCTATTTCTCAAACAAACCAGGAAAGTTCCACCTTTAGCATTTTCACATGTGCTGTTCTCTCAAGTCTACTCCTTTAAAAGAATTAGTAGGGTAAATGCTCAGCTAACCACCTTTGCCCTCTTCAAGAAATTACTCCCCAAACTTGTATTCCTAGTGAGTATTCAGCTTTACTCCTCTTGTCACAACTTATTCAACAAGGCACCCAACTCAGGTTTAGTCTATCAGAATCTGTCTCCTGGGAATTGGGAATCCTGAACTGAGAGATTACAAGTGTAGAGAGCACCATAGTAGAGTCAACTGAACAATACTCTCCCACAGCCTCTCAAAAAGTCCCACTCTGCACACACCTGGAGAGGTGTGAAATTACACTCCTAAATCATATACAGTGTAGTAAAACAACTTTCTTTATGTCAATAAAATATACATTAAGAACTTGCACAATGGAGAGGTTCAGAGTTGTCTGGGTCCCTGTGCTTCCTGAGGCTATATTATTCATCTATTTCTTCCGTGAGATCTCATTTTTTCCCTTTGCTTTAATCTACCGAAATTCCTATTTCTTGCAACAAAAGATTTGCAAGAAATTACATTATTATATAATTACTTTCTCACTTGCTCTTGCACACTTCTTCTATAAATACACTTACAGAATATTAACTTATCCTTACTCAGATTTACAGGTGGAAAAAGGGAATTAACCTAGTGTCTACTACATGACCAGAGCCAGTTACAACATAGAACAAAAGGTCTGGAGTTATTCTTGTGTACTGTTCTTGACCTAAAGTACTACGAGAACTACTGAGTCATGTATCTATTGTAACAAGGGATACCTACCACCTGGAGTGAATTCATGACTTGGGGCTAATGGGAACAGTGCTTCTGTTGACAGATGACTTAAAAGAAATGGCCCCTTGAAGATGGCATTGCATTAGCCTCCAAACTTTTGACTCAACTGTAAGAGAAAGGGAGAGCTCCATTGACTGAGATTAAGGAACTTTTTGAGATGGCTTGAAATAGAAATTAACTGAAGTAAAGGAAAATAGTTGTATTTCTTGCACACCGAGGTTTGTGAGGGGAGCAGCAGGTAAGTCAGGAGAGGTCTGCTGGGCCATGTGGGTTGCTCCCTGGCCGGCCCGGGATTGAACTTGGGGATTAAACTCATGCTGCAGAGGCTGCAGATTGCTTCATAGTGAGGTGCTTAACCATTTCCCTTACCCCTTAACCCTTGTGCTTAACCCCTTAACTGGAGAGGCCCTGTTTCTTCATTTTTAGAGCAATGATAACAGAACCCACTTTGCTGAGATGACAGAGCTAATACATAACAACAAACAACAGCTAATAAAGTTTCCTTTAGAAAAGTGGTATCAAACAACTGTAATGTGCTGAAATAAAACCAGTTTTGTGGTTAAAAGTCAAATTTCACTGGCGTGGCAGATAGTTAAATAATTGTGTAACAGTTAAATAATTGTGGTTCCCAGGAAAGGGGGAGGTTCCAGGTTCCCTGCCCCACCCAAATGGAGGGTGGAACTGAGCAGGGAGAGGAAAAGCTGAAGAGGAAACTGAGGAAAAAAGCAGGATGGAGATCCAGAAGGAGACCTGGTGGAGGCGCATGGAGCCTAGAGACATGTGAAGAAACTGCGCTTGCCTTTTGGTCGTGGATTGGGTGACACAGATGTGGGTGAGAGACCTGAGGGGAGGTGACAATGGTGGCTTTTATCTTGATTTTGATTTTGCTCTTTTCCTTCTGGGCTTGTCTGGTTGTTTCTGACCCTTTTCTGTGGGTCCCCACTCGAAGATGCTTTACACTTGTGGCAGGCTTTGGGGCCTTGCTCTGGGCCAGTCCCATTTGGATGGAGTTTTACCCACGAGGGGATGGGTAACTTTGGGTGCTTCATTTAGAAACTAGATTCTTTGCCTTTCCTGTCTTGCTTCCTAGTTGTATTAAAGTTCCTTCCCATTAAAGTCTCATTTTTTTGTGTTGATGCGGCGGATAGCAGAAACCATTTAGAATAGGCAGGTTTGGGGGGTCTGGGGTTCATCTCTCCCTGCCCTGTAACAATAGGGCCTCAAAGAAAGGACCTTGAGTACCCAGAATGAGCAGCCGATGACAACATCTGCCCTCAGGGGATGTCCTGAACCACACATACAACATAACTCAATTAAACAAATATTTAAGCAATTACTATGTGCTAAGTGTTGGATAAAGAGAGCAACATACTTACCCAAATGAGCAAAGGTTCACAGGGCCCTTGAAAGGCCATCAGAATTTTGACTAACTTCTCTGTCTTCCTAAGGATAAATTCCTCATGCATGGGAATCTTCTATGTGTATTGGTAACATGCATAGTCTCAATGTCTGATGCTAACATGGGCTGAATAGTCCTTTACATAAATGAATAAAAGAAAAAAATGAAAGAATGATTGAGCATGATTTCTCCTCCTTTTTTGTCCTTAGAACTTCTCCAATAAACTGTAATTTACTTTCTTTTGTCTGTATACAGTAATGAAACATAAGCTCTGCCAGAGAGGGAATCTTTGATTTGCTTCACTAATGTCTCCCAAAGCCTACAGCAATATCTACCCAGACATACATTGAAGGAGTACTTATGAAATATGAAAAATGGCCAAGGAAAGAATTTCTCAAATTTTACTTGATAACCTCTCTGAAATCACCTAAAGACAGTATTTACTGAGAAGAACTAAATTGCTGAAACTTACATCTGCTTTTAATTATTCTTGATCAACTAGAGCATCTGTAGTCATAATCTTTACTAGGGGTATCTACTTGCAGATCTATCTTTTCCTCCACAACAGTATACTGCTAATTTTCCTTCATGGAGAAAGAAAAATGAATGAATCAGTAGCACTGTGCCAGAGTAACTATTTTTGGTAGCATTAAGCTGTTGTCACCTCAACCAGTGAAGTAACCAAACCCCACAAATTCTGGAGTGAAGAGATTCCTGACCACAGGCTTCCCACAATGAATGGAAAGGGCAGTCAGAGTAGGTCTCCACTTTTGGACCAAGCCTATGGAACTAGGAACAGGTCTTTAGTCCAAGGAAATAACACCCATGGCTATCTGGAGACCTTTCTTGATACTCTGCTGAAAAATGAAGATGGCAGTCATGCACAGGTCCGCAGGTGCAGGCCTTACATGCTCCAGTCTCGTTTTCCTGAATAAAATGGTGGATCTCAGTTTTCATAGCATCAGAAACATTTTATTTTTTGAACCAAAATAAAATGTTTTAACTTCATTTATGAAAAACAAATTCAATATTTTATGTAACATTTTCATATGATCGGCTCAATGGAAGATCAAATAGGGAAACTGCAATAAACAGAATGAAATATTACATATACATGTCTGTATAAATCCACATGAAAAAAAAATCTAAGGTATCTGAAATGGAAAAAGCTACCTACCTCTGTAGCTGAATACAGTTAAGAGCCCACAGTTAAACATTTGTTCTAACCTGGATTTATGTAGTATTGATTTTTTACAAATGCTGTTTTTGTAGTACAAAACCAACAAAACTAATGATAATGCTCCAAACACATTTATTTACTACATTACTCTGAGGTTGATTTCTATAAATTCCACCAATACATGTTAAAAGAAAAACTGTGGGATCGAATGTATGTGTCTCTAGGAACAAGGTATTTCTTTAGGGAACAAGGTATTTATTTCTTTAGGGAACAAGGTATTTCTTTTAATTGTAGATTTTAGAAAAACATTCATTATGCGCTACTACCATAACAAAAAATGATTTCCTAAGAACAGCTCACGTAGCCAGTGAACTAGGAAGAAGTAAACCACTCTTTTTCAGTCATATTCAGAAAATCTGATGTGTTTACTTGCTTGCTGAGTCTTCTCAAGTCTAATCTTTTCAGCTTTCATGATTAACTGTAGAGAAACAGAAGAGAAATTAGAATATATTGGATACATAAAGAAAAAAAAAGAAAATCAGCACTAGAAAATGTCACAACGTGAATATTCAATTTTTTTAAAAGGGAGAGAGGTAGTAGAGAAATAAAATGATTAGTGTAGATTCAATAAATTAAAGAGACAACTGTCTAGATTAAGGCTAAGTACAAAAGACATTGTCTTTGAGTTATCTAAAGTGTCCCACTTTAGTTACAGATTATTAAAAAATTTTCCATTAAGAGTTTCCACTCCACACTCTCTTTTTTTTTTAACATTTAGAAGGGTTCAGTACCCACACTTGATAGTTCTCTATTACACTGGGCTTGATTATTAATTGTCATGAGATTGGAAAACATTTTATAACTGAAGTAATACTTATTTAAACCAAGACACTTCTGAAATAATGTGGCCCTTAATACTGTGATTAAGAATTAATGCAGGGCCTCCCCGGTGGAGCAGCGGTTAAGCGCTGGGTTGCGAAGCTGCCCGCAGCCTCCGCAGCGCCCGTTCGATCCCCGGCTGCTCCCCGGCCACCGGAGGAGGGTCCCACATGGCGCGCAGACCTCTCCTGCCGCCCGTTGCTCCCCTCAGCAGTGTACTTCGAAAAGTATTTTATGCTATTTTATTCTTGTAAATGCTAACTCCCATTCTTAAGGTGCTCCCTGGACCCCGGCTACGTCAGCCTTCTAGGGCAACAATTTCCCCCATAAGGCCACAAAACTTTGTTGCCTCAGCCTAGAAAGTTACACTTCTAAAACTTCTGGGTTGCTTGCTCACTTCCCTAAGGTCTAAGGTCACCTTCACAGAGAACTCCCTAGACAAGGTGTTTTGCTGTGAAGCTATCCCACAGTCCCAGTCTCCCCACCCCCGCCCCAATGTTATACTTGTGGTCACCAGACCTATACTGCTTATCTGTAAAGTTTCATGAAAGCAGGGAACTTTGTTACTCAAGGTTGTAGCCCCAGTTCTTAGAACAGTAGTTAATAGAAAAATTCTTTCATGCAATTCAAAAAATATTGATCCAATGGATTCACAAACACACACTAATTAGAGTCCACACTTCCGGCTGAAAAGCATGGATAGCGCTACATTGTGTGGTATCCTGTTTCTTTTCAGATGAGCCAACAAACTTCAGCTAGGATACCCAGTCTCAGATATTTGGCCTTATCAAAAAAAGTCTAATGAGAAGCCTGATGATACAGCAACAGGGAAATGAGATCAGAAACTCTCCATCTCAATGGCTGAACAAACTCAATTTATAAAATTTCCCAGTCAATGTTTATTTTCTTGCCTCAAATAGAATTTACAGACCTAGGATCAGTATGAAAAACAAATGTAGTAATTCCTTCTTTAAGAACTATATACAACTTAAATGAAATTTCACACCAACTAGAAAAATAAGTGTATATATAACAAAGTGATTCCATTTCATTTGTGAGATTTGGACTAGTGATTTTAACATTTAAATAATCTCAAACAGACTTTGAAATTAACACCTCAGAGATATGAAAGCCCTTAGGAAGGAAGAAGACCTCCCCAGCTCAGTAAATTCAATCAGCTTTCAGAGTAACAGAATTAACAAAAGACCAGTAGGAAACCTCCCCCCATATCATCTTAAATTCTAATGCAAAACAAGGTTGGTGAAAAACAAATGTTTTAAGTTAAAAAAAAAAAAATTATAACTATAACCCCAAATTGAACAAACCTCTATTTTAGGGAGTTTGACTTTTTACCTGCTAACCAGTCATAAAAGGATGGATCTCATCTTCGAATTTTCTTAAATTTTTATAATAGCCATTTTAACATTTTGGTAATAGTAATATTAATCATGTCTCTTATTATGTTTCATCATTACAAAATATTTTAAGGAATAAACTTAACAGCTCACTGATAATATAATGACTGAATTACTGAGCAACATTTAAATAAAATTGAGAGGCGCTTGCTTCAAATGATTTAATATATTCAAGCTTGCTTATGTTACTTGTTGGCTAGTTCAGGGAAGCAGGAATAAAGTTTATCATTGATACAGAGAACACTGCAAAAGTCTATTGATCTTATTTGTGGAGGTCCTTAAGACAATCTTTAAACAATCATTTACCACCAAGCTACAAAACACAGAAGCCAGAAATCAAGGCTTTTTGTATTTAAACTGTCTCTCACTAAACTAAACAAAGGCAGAGGGGGGGGCACCTCTAAATTAAAACTGCATACCCTTTGTGGGGAAAGGAAATCTAACTTCATGTATTTCAAAATCTGGAGAAATGATTGTTCCCTCTCAACCTAAAATGTAGCTGATGCCATGCCAGTCTTTGCTGTGCAGAGCAAAGCCAAAGTTATTTTAGGGCTACACATTATTGACTTTTCAGGAGACACTGAACTTCTCAAAAAAGTTGAGGCAACCAAAATGGAAAAAAGATGCAAAACAAATATGAACTGATTACCTTCTCAGTGCCTCTCTTCTTTTCCCGAGGCTGATTAAGTTTGGCCTGCCTATCTACCAAAATCTTCTGCCAATACCTCTGTTCGTGATCACCTTAAAAATAAACAATACCAGTGATGACTGAACATATGGACATGTATTAAGAGACATATTCTAGGCATTATTTTCAGTAAAAGAACAGTTGTGGACATCCTTTCCCCCAACAGTCTTATCATTTAATGTGACTTCGTGCATATGCAAATAGAAAAATATACTAGCTTCATTAGCCGAATCTAGAAATTATAATACAATTGTCCCACAATTAAGCATTAAAGAAGATTCTATAAAGTTTTACCAGAGAGGATCTGTAATTCCCAGGAGTGTTTCTTTTTAATTTCCATGTAAGCATTTATTACTGCTTGAGCATCTTCAGGAGTTTTAAATCTAACATGGCATTCTGTATCTCCTTCTAGCAAGTCAACATAAACAACTTCTGAGATTGCAGCCAATGTATCCTGCACAGAGTTTGAAAGGCTTAAAATTAATAAAATACTTAAAAATATCCTAAAACTATTCCAATAGCTATGTTAGAATGTATTAAATAAATAAGCACATACAACTGAAAATGAGAGAATTCTGCATCAAACATTTCTTTTAATCTACACACAAATGCTCTTAAAATTGACTTTGACAAAGCTGAAAAACAATGGAACATCAAATCTAATAATAATTTTCTTCTTTTCATTCAACCACATCTTAACTGGAATGGGAATACTGCATAAGGAGAACAGATCTGTAGAACAGAATCTCTAATACTTCCCTCTCCCCTAAGCCTGGAAAAGGGGTTTTTCCAAGTGTGCTCCTAGTAAGAATAAGGAAAAAACAATTAAAAATACAGAACAGACTGGGGGAGGTGTTTCCACTTACCTGTACACAAACCACTTATAACTTAAAATTTTGTTTAAAAATAGTTCAACCTTTTACACCTACTAATGAAAAAATGGTTTAGAGAACCTAAAAAAATTCCAGGTTCTCCAGGAACATAGCTCAAGAGCTTATCCTTTCTGATAAAATAACTAAAGCAACCTCTTCTAAACAAGTTGTGGTCACTCAGCAAGGAAAAGTTTTACCTATAATGCCTGCTGTGAGGTCAAATTAACAAGATTCCTGCATTCCTAACCTTTTTTTTTCACAGCAGGTTTTACAAGAGTATACAATGCAATTATGCAGGAATGTTACACTAAATCTTAATTCATCAACTTCCATTCATTAAGGTAAAGAAATAACTGTAGATTCCTAACTGAACAAAAGCATTTTCGTGATCCCTTTCTTTTAGTCTCTATCTCAAATTTCAAGCCATAAGTAATTTAGGTTACCTTTAAATGCTTACGTTCCAAATCTGAGTTACAGAGAATTGAACAGTGACTGGAAATACTATTTCATTGTACTGTAATAAATGTGTACTAGCTAAAATGAAGAATATGTGGTTAAAAACCTGAGTTCAGAGAAGCCCGGGACTAAGTTTTAAAGCATCTCAATTTAGCAAGAGAACTGGGAAATACACTTGGCAATTCTTCCTATTTCTCTGTCTAGTAATTAGTATTAAATTTAGACATAAAACAAGAAAGATAATCAACATCAAGCTGATTGAAATTTGAACTTATTCACTGCTAGTTAATTTTGCAACTGATTTATCAGACAGATTAGATGACGACAATTCAAGAGATATTTACTAAATATCCATCATAATGTCAGGCTAATCTCCGGATTTAAAACCCTTCTTAGAATGACAAATTAGCCTGATAATCACATGGGCAAGTTACAGACCGCAGTGACCCTCATCATAGCTCAATTTTTGTTCCGCAAAATGTTAAGTAACTGCTAACAGGTAATGTAAACTTTTAAGATTTTCATGATGAAAAAATGAAAAAAATATTTAGATATTAAAAGCTCTCTGAAAATATAGTTAAGTCTATGCCAATCATCCCAAATATCAGACTTTGATAACTTTTTCTAGAAACCTTTTGCAATCTGCCTAAACAGAATACATCCTTATTTATATCCTCAATACTTCAGCTTTCTTATCAGAAATCCTATATTCCTACTACACCCTATAATGCAAGCTGGCAGTACCAATTTGGGGTTGACCAACTCCAACATCACTATCAGAAAGAGAATCTAAGTTTAAGTGATAGTGAGTTGTTGGCTTTTAGGATAGGGTTTTAGACAAAGAATGTTTACAGATTTTTATAGTGAGTAACCTCAGTGGTTATGTAAGTTAAAAAATGTGATTAGTATGAATGCATCTTTGGGCAAACAAAAACACAGTACTAAGTGACGACTGTCAGTGTCAGAACTTAAACAAGAGATTGGTGAAGAGCACTATAACAATTTGTACTACAAGTTATTCAGAATTAATTCATAGGAATTAATTTCTACAAGCATGTAAAATACTTGTAGCTTTTCAAAAAATTAAACAATTACGGTTTTTGGCAATTGCTTCAATTAGAAATCATCAGGGACTGAAAATTAAACTAATTAAAAAACTGATGTGAATAAAAGGTTACTTTCTTCAAGATATCCTGCATTTAAATAGACACAAATAAACTAAGGGCATGGTAAGTGAAAAACATGGATATCATTTTTTATGTCTCCTAAAACATGCTCTTTTTTTAGGTCACAGAAATTTGTAGGAATATGAATGTAAGCATGCTAATAAGCAAACGACAAATTCTCTAGTTTGTTCCAACAGGAGACAACATGATCACAATGTTAAAATAACTTCAGGTCAACACTGCATATTGATTAAATCTTTTCTTTAAAGTTTTGGCACTAAGTATTTTTCTAAAATTCCTTTTCTCCCAAAACAAAAAAATTCCCCTAAAGTGAGTTTTCATAGTTATTCTTTTAATTACAAGGAGTAGAATATAACTTTCTTATTCAACCACACAATGATCAGGGGCACCAATAAAAATAAACATATTAGGACTGTCTTATAGAAGGATGTTTGAACTGTGTTCTATCCAAATCTGATCCAATAAAAAATATGAGTCTTCAGATTTTCTTCAAGACAAGTTAAAAGTTACTGTGGCATCAAAACCCTGCAAATAGTTTACCAAGATGAACAAGTTCTAATTTGATTTTCTTCATTTTCCATTTCAAAACATTTTCACACAGGCAGTTTTTAAGTGGAGAATTAAAAGAGACAAAAGCTCTGGGGGCCTAAAAAGCATTACCTTGACAAGTTTCCTGCCAGGTAGAGGCTCAGTGCTAACAATCTTCACAATCACCCCACTCACAAACTGTGGTCCTGCAGCAGTCATCTTCTGGAGGGGAGGCTCAGCACTGTCTGCTGTTGATTTGAAAAGGAAATTCCAGAAATAAATCTCTTGCACTTAATGTAACCCTTAGTAGGAGGATTTTAGAATAATGACAATGATTTCTTAGGCAGATTTAATTGTAAAATATTTAAAGTAATAAGGTATTACATTATATGTCATACTGCTTTGTTCAATGCAGATTATCCTGAGTTAAATTAAAAAGACATTTCACTAAAAAAAATGCAAACTGCTGTTGTTAGAAGAACTTGCCAACCCTTAAGGGAAAAAGTCTCCTTTCCCTGAACCACGTAACAAAGACATTTACTTAAAAATAAAGAAGTAAAATAAAGGAAGAAATATGCATATGCTATATACATTGATTCAAGTGTGAAAATTTTGCAAGACTCTTGTAATCTGTTCTTACTATGGAACGAAATTAAAGATGAGAAATGAGTCTACCTATACTAACTTCCTCAATTCATAAAATAGGCACTCATTACTCAATCTGTTTAACAACAGACTGTAGAAGAAACTTACATGATTAAAAATAACAGTTTAAAATTAGCCATTCAAATAACTACATCAGAGTTCCTAATTGTTCTAATGACCATAGCATAATTTTTATTTTTTAAATTGAAGTTTATCTTGTAACTCAGAAGTGGCAGTTTAGTATACAGGTACAACGAAATACTGAATACAATGCTAAAGACAACAAGAGCGATCTTTACTTTTTTCATGTTTCACCGCAGACTTATCAGGTACTCCATGGTCTGTTTCCATTACTGATTCCAATTTTATTTGGGATATTGTTTTTTTTAAAGAAGCCATGCTAGCTTTTTGCAGTGCTAAATACTCTTTTTTCAAGTCCATCCATTCATTCCTGTATTGGAAAAAAAGAAAAACCAAAACTACCTTTAAAATTGTGGTAACAGAGTAACAGTAAATACCCAAATATATACTGTGGCAGTGATTAGAGACCACTGCAATCCTCAAGTTATTTTCCTGAGTCTTAAGCACACCTAGCTAACTAGTAAAGGTGAATTATCACTGCCCCAACGTTCAGATTAAATATTTTAAATTTGCTGATTCAATGCTTGAGTATATTTCAAATATTTGACATTTTGAGTTAGATAATTAACTAGTAACTTTACTTGGTCAGTCATCTCTAGGGTTGGGATGGGGGAAATGAGAGATTAAAATGGAAAGATTTGTTAAATTGCTTCCAATTTAAGAGATAACATTCCTTAGTATTTAGTATTTACTTGAATCAAAAGGAATTTCCAAGAAGAAAAAAACACCCCATGGAAGCAATTTATTTATTTACATACATTTAACATGTAGATGTTTCTTCAAACAGATAGAGCTCCTCCAGATAGAAACATAATGCCTCCCAAGCTCCACAGGAGCCTCATTGTTACCCTAATCTCTGCCATCAAACAGGCAGATAGGGGATTTTTTTTTTTTAAAGGAGGATATTTTGTGGTAATGGTTTTAGCTGTTAACATTGACATTTGTATACTTCAAAAAAGAAAAAAAAAAAGTATCCAGACCCACCCAGGATCATACCTTCCCAGAGAGCTGATACATTAAAATAACAAAAGGCTCTTGTAATGATTCTCTGAGATAAAAAGGCAAAAGGAATTCAAGAGTTAAGAATAGTATAAATAGAAGTGCCAGAAGTCTTTGCATTTTAACCTTCTAGTGGAAAACAGAACTTTGGAAACTAAGCCAGGAAGGTTAAGACAAACTTCTCTCCAAAAGGTAAGCTTTGTTTTTTTTCCTTGATTTGGCTTTCTACTTCGAGTGGCTGGATTCCCTTTAACTTTAACATGGAAGTGCTCTCTGTGACTTTAAATAGTAAGTGCTTCCATGTTTTAGTAGAAGTGAATTCAAATTACTCTGCTGGGTGTGACATGGTGAATCTTTAGAGAGGCCAAGGGGATCCCCTTTGCTTTAACATGGGGGTACCTGCTGTGTAAAGCAAAAGTAAGTGCTTCCATGTTTCAGTGGAGGTGTCTCCAAACTTGCACATTTATTGCACCAAAGACTGTTTTCTAAACTGGATTACAGGTTAAAGGATGTTCATGGTCCCAAGGTTATTTTAGACTGGACTCCCCACCACTTAAACGTGGATGTACTTGCTTTGAAGCTAAAAAAGTAAGTGCTTCCATGTTTTAGTGATGGTAAGTCTTACTTTTACATTGTCACACATTTACAAGGCTTCCTCCTGAACTGCAAATCTACGGGGTATTTAAGCTGTGTCTTTAAATCTGTTAAGGAACACCCACTACTTTAACATGGAGACACTTGCTGTGCCGTGATTAAATAAGTGCTTCCATGTTTTAGTGTGGTGGTTCCTTTTTAATCCTCAATCGTATTATACCCACACTTGCACAGTGGTTGGCCACAGGCCGTTACTGTTGCTAATATGCAACTCTGTAAAATTCAAATTGGAATTGCACTTTAGCAATGGTGATGGCTTGTGTCACTTATCAACAGGAATTGTGCCGCAGACTTACTTGGATATTACTCTTAATGGTATAACCTCTTCTCCCATTTTATGTCTCTCTTTATGTTTTTTCTTATGCTTCCTTTTTGCTTTTAAGAGGGATCCATCTTTAATATCTCCAGTTTCTTTTTCCTCTTCAGTTGAGACTTCTAAATCTTTTAAGAAATAAAAAGATGGAAGTGAAGAAACAAGAAAAACTTTAGATTCCTCTGATCCCTACCCTTAGAGTTGTATGTACCTTTGTTTTCTTTGGAAACCTCAGACATTTCTTTAATGTTATCTTTCTGAGCCATTTTCTTTACTTTTGCTCTGGGAATTAGGCATTCTGCATCTTCGCAGCTACTTCTCTTCCTCTTCCCTGTTTTGGCTAAAGGTAAGCTAGATGCTTCGGCTTTTTCCCGTTTTTTCTTCTTCTTCGAGGGCGGCTTCTGAGGTTCAGTGGTCTCTACTTCAGAGCCCTCCGATGTGGTCCTCGATCTTTTCATTTTACAGGCGCTCTCGTTGCTCGTTTCCACAGTCACCTCTTTGGTCTGGACGCTGTCTTCCTTCTTAATTCGGCCTTTCTTCTTCTTCTTCTTTTTCTTTTCTTCTGTAACGATACTATTTATTGTTAGTTCTCACTTAAACTTAAAACATCTATTTTTTTTATTACCATTAAATAACTCACCTGCTCTAAGGCCAGGAATGGGCTTATTTTTCACTGTCTTAGGAAATATACCAGGTTTTCTTGGTGCTTCTTCTGGTGGGTTGTTAAGAAACTGAAATGATTGCAAAATATGTTAGTATTTATAATATCTGTTAATTTCCTTTTCTTCCAATCTTTAGGTGCTGGACCCACCTCAATAGCTTTTGCCGCTTGTTCCTTTGTTTCAAACTCTACAAAAGCGAATCCCTTTGGATCTCCTGTTGACTTATAATGTGGTATACTAACATAAACAACATTGCCACATTTCCCAAATACTCTTTCAATCCAGCTGTGATTAACGTTTTTGGGAAGTAATTCCTATGACAAATTAGAAACATTTTTAAATATTTAAAGCATTCTTACTCAGGTCAATAAATTCTACCCTAATGTGAACATGTTTCTGTCTTTTCTGAGTGGGTGTGCCAGCAGCGAGAACATTTAGCTTACCACGTACACTGTCCGCTCATCCTCATCCTTTGGTCTTTCACCAAGAGGCTTTTTCCTCCTGATTCTGGTGCCTTCTAAATCCAGCTTTAAAAATGGTACACGCAAGGTTATTAATAAACTTAAGGATTGTGATAATAACAGAAAACATGGATAAAATAGTAACATTTCTTACCTCTACAACAGCTGAACTTTTCAGTGCCCTGGCTATTAATTTCCCATCAGTGGTTAATTTTTTCATCTTATTGAAAGACACAAGAAGTGATATATCAACATCTAATGAAATTAAAAAGCAAATAAAAGTAAGTATAAATGAAAGCTAAACCAGAGTAAATGCTATTTGGTATGAATTTAATCTGGTCCCCTCTATGCAAGTGGGACAGAAAATTTTTGTCAAGTTTTATTTAGTTCACACATTTATGTCCCTCTTGAAACTAAAGGTGTTTTGGGGATTTGGTTCGGTAAGGTGATTCTTTATATTAACGCTTTCAGCATGATTGGTCATGCAAATGATTTGGGATTATAGTGCTACTTAAAGGCAAAAAATGCACTACACTGGTCTTTATTTTAAGAAATTAGAAAAATATTAGATCTAATTGTTGATGCATATTGTACATATTTCTATAACAGTATTAATAACTGGAAGTAAATTAAGTAAAGGCAACATGTCTAAAAAGCTGGTTCCATTAACATAAACTGAAACATAAACTTACATCCATCTCTAGATTTTTCTATCTGCTCCCGAAGAAATCTGTCCTTGTGAAGGTTTGCATCTCCAAACCAGAAGTCCACTTGCTTAGCAATATCTGCAAGCACCTGCTTAACTCGAGACCGTTTCTTTTTCTCTACTTCTTTTTTCTTTTCAGTGCTTTCCTCTTCCATTGCTTTTTCTTGATTCCCATTTTCCGTTTCCATTTCTGCAAAATGAAGGAAGCAAAGGCAGATATTTAAAGCAACAGAAAGGAACTGTTAATCATGAAAAAATACATAGCCTTTACTTTTCTGAAGGGAGAATGAACTTCAAAGTCTGGCTGAGTGCCAGAACAAACTTTTTTTCAGGGTAACATTTCTCTGAATAGGACCAATTTTCTGAATATGACCAATTTTCAACAATCGACTAAGGAACCTGCACTGGCTTTGTTTCCAGACACTAATGTCATAAGAACTAAATTGTAGTTCTTAAGTTATTCTAGTACAGTGTAAAATCTATACAATTATGTCACCAAGCTATAAATGGGTCTCACTTACGCCTTTTTAACTTTAACTTACTGTGCTCTGAAACACCTTATCCATTGTACTTATAACCACTATCCATCATTACTATGCAGTGTCTGTTCTTTAAATGACTGAAAAAAAGTTTGTTTACTTACACATTCCCAGATGGACACTCAGAAAGTGTGAAATGAACCGTCATATTAATTTAATCACTAGGAACACAAGCACAAAAATGCTTAATATCGAGTCTGGGATGCTTTCATCCCAGAACATCCAGCCTGGCTTAATTTAATACGAGGCTTGAGTGGGTCTGCCATAATATGCTTTTCTTGGAAACTGTAGGCTTGGGACCATGTAACCCAGAATAACTAAAGAGACTGGTGGGGAAAAAAAAGCTAAGGCTTCTTACCCATCAAGGTGACCCTATCTGTGGAAGCTATATGAGTCTGCTGTGGGGGAGGGGAGGTAATAAAAAGAAAAGCAGCAGATCTGGGTTAAATGTTGCATTAAAAGAGGAGAAAATAATCTCCCTACTGCTTCTGCCTGGTATTCTTTTTTTGAAGCTTATTAACACAGTATTAGATTAAAGCCCATTAGTATCTTCTACACCTGTCAGGTAGTCTCACTGCAGCAGTGACAGTACAGAATGCAAGATGGTTCAACTGGAATCCAGTAAAAGGGTACAAAGCCACTTAAGGATTTCATCTCAAAGCTCCAATTAAATAAGCATTCTCACCAAAGTCAACAGAGTATTTATTTAGTATGAGTTTAAGCTGGTCCACAAAATACTCTGGTCCAGGGATCTTTTGGCATTTTTAGAACAGGCTTAAGCTTATTAGCCCAAGTACCAAATTTGAAAGCACATGAGCAATGAAATCCGAGGATGATACAAGCTCAGTGCACAAAATGAAGCTACAGAGAGTGGGAATTCATCATCAGATAAACCTATCAGGCTTCATTTACTGTCCCTAAGCGCACTACTCACCTCACTCTCTTTCCATTTCCCCTTCAGGCTTTCCTTCCCACCTGTCTAGTGAAACTGAACAGAGGCCCCCACTGTGGACATACTTGACTCCTCAGCAGCACTTGCAGTTGAGAACTCCATTTGGGAAAACTTTTTTTTTTCATCTGGTTTCCAGGAGAGTTTTGCTCCTTTTCCGAGTCCTCCCACCCTGCATTCAATGCTGGGCTACCTAACCTGTGCACTCAGCCTCTGAGGGTCCTTGGCTTTATGCTTATGTTTTACAAAGCCAGCCCTAACTTTCCCCATTAGCTGCCCATTCCAATATTCTACTGTCATCTGACATTTGCTTGTTTATCTGAAAGAGACCTCAAATATAAAATGGCAAAAATTGAACTCTCAAATTTTTATTTGGCAAAAATTGAACTCTCAAATTTTTATTTTATTTTATTATTTTTTTCCCAAAGATTTATTCATTTGTTTGTTTGTATAAGCACTGGGTACAGTCAGAAGCACAGGAGGGTGAGAGAATTCGCCAGAGCGGGGAGCAGAGCAGGCAGAAGGACTGAAGTACACCGCTGAGGGGAGCAGCGGGCGGCAGGAGAGGTCTGCGCACCATGTGGGACCCTCCTCCGGTGGCCGGGGAGCAGCTGGGGATTGAACCGGCGCTGCAGAGGCCGCAGGCAGCCCCGCAACCCAGCGCTCAACCACTGCGCCACCGGGGAGGCCCAAGAACTCTCAAATTTTTAACAAAGCTCCATGTGTCTAGTTTTCCCCATCTAGGAAAACACCACTTACAAAATTGAAGGCAGAATTCTTGAAATCACGCTTGATTCTTTTCCGCACACAGCACAGCCCAATCACTAACATATACCTTTACAATCTAAGCCAATACTTCTCATTCTTACATCTCACCCCCTACTTCAAGCTATCATTGTGCCTGTCCTGTCTAAACTACTGCAAGTTTCCAAACATCTACTTGCTTTCAGTCTTCTTCTGTTAACAACAATTCTCCAGAGAGCAGCCACCATCAATTAAATTTATAAACCATATCATGTCAATTTCATACACAAAACCTCTACAGGTCTCTTATCACACAATAAAATCCAAAATCCTTTGTAAGTCCTAACCCACCATGCTGGGGATATCTCTACTCTCATCCCCTACAATTCTCACAGCAGGCTCACTTGAACCACCACACCCCGTTCTTTAAACATACTAAGGCCATTCCCATCTCCAGGCCTGTGCTCTGGTTGCTCCCTTTACTTCCCCTGCCACATCTAGATCCAGGTCTCACCAAAGTCATAATCTCAAAGAGTTGGTCTCTCTCACCAGGTTAAAATAGTCCTGCCCTGCCAACCTGAACCCTACGTATCCCCTCAGGCACCATTTTCTATGCTCATATCCTCCTATCCCCGCCTGGAATAATACTTTTTTTGTCTGTCTACTCGCTAAAATATAAAAGCTCCCAGGGAAGGGACTTTAGGTTGATCACCAACTAAGCATTAGTTAAATGATTAAATACTGGATTTAAAAGCATCTTATAGTGTTAAACATTTTAAGTTCTTTTGTAAGAGGGTGGAATTATAAATGAAAGACAAATGTTGGCTAGGATTATCATTACAACAGTATCCACTGCTAACCTTTCCTTCGGAAATAACAACAAATTACAAAGGGCAGATGGGACAGCTCTCCAATTCCCTTCCTTGTCCAAATCGCCCTCTGAAGAAGTTGTGGAAAGAACAGTGTAAGTGTAACAGGGTGGTCCCCAGGAGAGGGGGAGGTTCCAGGTTTCCTGCCCCACCCAAAAGGAGGGTGGAGCTGAGGAGAGAGAAGCAGCTACAGAGGAGAGGAGAAAGGAAGGAAGCAGGATGGAGATCCAGAAGGAGACCTGGAGGAGGCACATGGAGCCTAGAGACACGTGAAGAAACTGCGCTTGCCTTTGGGTCGTGGACTGGGTGACACAGATGTGGGTGAGACCCGAGGGGAGGTGACCATGGCAGCTTTTATCTGGATGTTGATTTTGCTCTTTTCCTTCTGGGCTTGTCTGGTTATTTCTGACCCTTTTCTGTGGGTCCCCACTGGAAGATGCGTTAGACTTGTGGCAGGCTTTGGGGCCTGCTCTGGGCCAATCCCATTTGGATGGACTTTTACCCACGAGAGGACGGGTAACTTTGGGTGCCTGACTTAGAAAGTAGATTCTTTGCCTTTCCTGTATTGTTTCCTAATTGTATTAAAGTTCCTTCTGAGACAGGGCAAGCTAGGGTTATTACGCAGTTTTAGGGACAGTGCAGGAGGGGACCTCTGAAGAATTTAGGGAGGCTTCAGAGATAAGGACAACCAAGGAAATGTAACCAATTCCACTGGGAAAAATGTTTTGTGTTTATGTGGCAGATGGCAGAACCCATTTAGAATAGGCAGGTTTGGGGGTTTTGGGCTGCCCTCTCCCTGTCCTGTAACATAAGCACAGAAAGTCACAATTCTCCTGGGAATAAGAATTCTCCATCAGCTTCAGATCTCGGCCCAGAGGCCGTCCTTCATTCTTTCTATGGACCATTTTTGTGGCTTGGAGAAGCTCAGAAACTTGCCTAGTGTGTGTATAACATGGTTACACTTTGTAATCTTAAAAAAAAAAAAAAAAAATCACAATAAAGTTATAGAGCAATATTTCTTTTACAGTCTTGATCCTCAAAGTCTACTTTCTCGATATGCTGCTGTTGGAGGTTATGAGTAGAAAATTTAGGAGGGCGGCATCACAAGACCAGAAATTGGAGGACACTGTTGTTAAGCCAACACCAGAAATGCAAAGTCCTTAAGCCAACTGCTATAACAAGTATCACACTGCTATAGAAAGTACCAGAAGAGGGTCTCCCTGGTGGCGCAAGGAGGTTGAGACGCAACCTATGAAGCTGTCCGCCGCCACTGCAGCACAAGTTCTATCCCCGGCCAGGCAGGTGACCCACATGGCGCAGCAGACCTCTCCTGACTTGTCCGCTGCTCCCCTCAGCAGTGTATTTCCCACCTGTTCTGTTTCCCACTCTGTCTCTGGTGAATCCTCTCATCCACCCCACACCTCTGGTCTGTACCCCAGCTCTTATATGCATAAATAAGTAAATCTTAAAAAAAAAAAAAAAAAGTACCAGAGGTGACCAGAGGTGGGGACATGGAGCTTGAGAGCCTTTGCAGAGAATCACCTCTCCTCACAAATCAACCTAGCCATACCCTAGAGGTAATCAATTTAACAAAGAACAATTCCACAAAGGAATGAACCTCTGCCCCTCCAAAAGCACTATCAGCACAGTTTCTGCACTGGTCTGATGCAGTTCTCATCCTTAGAATGCCTCCTGTGTCCATGCAGGTGGCTCTCTCAGAGACAGCTCTTCCAGCCTGCTTGTGTCTACCGGCATCTTTTCTCTTTACTTTTAATAAAACAAGCCTAACCTTTTGGATATAACCAAAAGCCTCTGCCTCATGGGAAACTCACCATGTGCCTGTGAAAGGAGAACTGTAGTGAAACTTTTCTCAGCGGCAACCCGAGACGCCCTTGTCTGAATCCAACACCTCTCCAAAACGACATCAATGTGATAACAAATGTGTGATCTCATACATCATACATCCAAATCAAAATTATCTCTTTTACCAAGTCTGTTCTTTTCATCATCCTCATCCTATTTAAGAAAATTATCTTCCATTGTGGTAACTAATCAAGCTATTGACTAGCCATACATTTTAAGCAAGTTACCTCATCTCACTATGGCCTATAAATTGTGGGTAAAAACTATACCTAACAGGATTGTCTCCATTACCAAGATAATGTTAACGGAGCACTTCGACCATTCTTTCTATCAAAGTCTGTTTCCTGATGCCCAAGCCAGTGAAAAAGTTAACCATAATTTACCAACTTGTATCATAACATAACACTGTTATTATAATTTGGCATCTTGTCACTAAGTCCTATGAGTTCAACCTCTGGATTGACTCTTCATCCAGTTTTCCATAGTTACTGTCACCATAATATGGAAAGAGCTTGTAAATTGTTCTAGAAACCATCCCTTCTTTGCAAAAAATGTATACCTTCTCCAAAACATAGACCTAATTTTGTGACTCTAACGTAAAAACTTTCAACATTAGAAATTCCTTAGCACCTTCTTGTAAGATAGTTATTTAAAAAAAAAAAAGTTCAACTGACATTTAATGGGCTTGTAAACATGTACCTTAAACAAAGAATATAAGTTAATGTGTAACAAGGCTAGTCATTTCACATACATTGTCTTAAATCCACATAATCCCACTAAGATTTCTTCCAATTTCTTTTTTAGAGAGGCTCAAAGGTTAAGTGACTTGGCCAAAGTTAATGAAGGAGAGAAGTTTTGGTATGTTTGACTCCCACAGATCCCACCTTTTAGCACAAATACTGCAACCTGTCTACCATGTATTCTATGTTCTGATTTAGAAATTTTTAACCTCGTGCCCAGTTTTTTCAGTCAGTTTCATTTTGTAAATGAATAAAATTGTTAAAAGATGAATTTTAAGTAAAAAGATAACAGACTCTTGTGAATATATAAAATGACAACTTTCCACAGGCCTCTCTCCAATTTCTATTTTACAACTGTTACGCCAGCTCAGTGTCAACGAAAGGCAGAGATACCAAACTATGCAAAACACCCAGTTTTTTTCCCTTAGCTATCTCAAAGTCTTTCTCAATTTTCCCTCACAAAATTACATGTAAAATGTTACGATAAGGGTCTCCCTGGTGAGGCAAAGAGTTAAGACGCAACCTAGGAAGCTATCCGCAGCCTCTGCAGCAAGTTTGCTCCCCTGGCCGGCCAGGGAGCTACCCACATGGCACAGCAGACCTCTCTTATCTCACCCGCTGCTCCCCTCAGCAGTGTATTTCAGTCAGTCTGCCTGTTCTGTTCCCCGCTCTGTCTCTGGTGACTCCTCTCACCCCCCACACCTCTGGCCTGTACCCCAGTTCTTGTATGCATAAATAAATATTTAAAAAAATAAAATAAAATGTTACGACATGTACATGTCTTTTCCTAGGACTGTCAGCGGTGGCTTTTACCTTTTTAAAAGAAGTGGTGTGCCAACAAGGTTACGAACCACTGTTTTAGTTATAGCTGATTGACTATTGAAGGGGACCTGGCGCCCCAACACTTCTTGCTGCTGTGCCTCTGCTCTGAGTGAGCCGTGTCATCTTATTTGCGTTACAAACCTCTATTCAGGGATCATGGCCCAGGTAGACGGCATCTCGCTGTCCGTACCTGTCCACCAAGACGTTTCTCCAAGTTACTTGCCTCCTATTTTCCTAAGTGGACGTATTAACGCGCTCACTCCACACTTACTTAAATAAACTTATTATTCGTTAGGATTTCCAACTCTTTGATAACCAGGTCTAGAGTCCTGCAAAAGATAAGGAATTAATTTAAAAATACAAGCCCTGACTTTCACTCTTTCTGGGGCCACGAAGGCGCAACCCCAAACTGAGGAGTAATGTCCTTCTCGGCCCCCGTCCTTCCGCACCGAGGACAACCGAGGCGACCGCCGCTCCAAGTCCTGACACCGCGCGCCCCCTAATGGCGAGAACGAGAACCACAAGCTCCACGGGAGGAACCTTCGCGCGTGCGCAGAGAGACCACGCCGAGCGCCTTGATGGGCTCATGGGAGGGGGCGGGGTGAGGGAATGGGGTGTATGAAAAAGAACTGAGAGGAATCCAGACCTCACCCAACCTGAGCGACCCTATAGGCGACTTGTCACTTACTCCGTCCGCGTCCCAAAATACGGGGCCAGAGAGTGTGTCCTTCAGCTTCTTCCGTCTCCTGCGCCTCACAGTGGAGGTTGTCTCCGCGTCATAGGACGAGCGACAGACGCCGTTCTCCAAGACGCCTTGAGACAGACGGGCCAGAGGCGGCGCGGCCGTCGCTTACGTCACAGGCAGCGGCGTGCTTGAGGGGCGGGGCCACGAAGGTCGCAACCAATGAAGAATTTGATTGGCTCTTGGAAGACGTGGCTTGTGGCTCGGCCGATGGTGGGCGGGCTAAGTGGTGGGGCCCGATCTGCTGCTGTCGCGGCTCAATGACGTCACGCGTTTTCGCGGGGTAATTTTGAAAATGGGGTTTGTGCGATGGGGCAGGTGAAGAGAATTCTTGGCTGAGGGTCCCCAGGAAGAGGCAGGGGGATTGGAGCGAGAGACCGCGTCGCTAATTTGGGGTGAAGGGACGAAAGAGTGTGCCCCAGCAGCACCGGCTCGGTAAGGATGGCGCAGGGAGGCAGGGTTGGGGAGGGGACAGTCACAGCTCGCCCGGACAGTCACAGCTCTCTTAATATTTGGTGTCTAAACTTCACCGCTTTGCCCAGCCCCTGCTCTGCAATTCCTGCACACATGTGAAGACCAGAGAGGGTTTTGTTTGTTCTAATGACTGACAGAGGGTCAAGTGTCTGTTGTCATTTGCTTACAGACAGTCATGGTGATTCGAATTTTGGCAGAATTTTGTGGGCTTGTGGTTATTTGGACTAGACGGTGCAAAAGGATCTTGGGGTCTTGACTCTAAAACGTTTAAATCTGTGACTCATCTAGGCATTGGATAGATTCTTTCAAAATAAAAGGACCGAAAATAGCTCCTTAACAGGAATAATGGTTCATACTGTAGTGAGAACATCATGTTTTATATGTACACGTATACAACAGCACAATGATTATGTTTCGTGTGTGTACGTGTGGTATGTATGTGTGTGCTTATTACGTAATTATCAAAAAACATGGCCACACCATTTTGAAAATGTCTTTGCACTTTAAACTTTCAACTATTGGAAGGGGGTCAACACTTGAATTGTTTGGTAAGTGTAGATAGAAAATCCGCAAGATTGCAGAATATTCTTTTCCCTTGTATGTCACTTAAATATATGATGCTGTCGACTAAAATCGTTTTTCCTGTTTCATGGTAAAAAAAGGTTTGTTGACAATCCCTTGAATGTAAGAATCAAGACTCTTGTAAATATTTAACTTCTACTCAGCCTTTTTTTTTAAAGGTTTAATCCTATAATCTAATTTGCCATTTATGAGAGTTTGGACCCTCTCAGTTCCTTTTAAATTGTAAAGCCCATAAATAATATCTTTAATATAGGAAAACAGTGGGGGATTTATCTTGCACTTCCTTAATAGCATATAAATAATCCTAAATTAGTGGATACTAGATTCGTAATCTTTAAGTCATAATATCTATTCTAGAATCACAAGACTTTGATCCCACAAGACTATTGCTATTATATGTAATATCTAGTCCAAGTCACAGGAAGACACGTTCACACGTGGACAATGTCTAGTCCAAGTCCCCTGATAGATAGTAGGTACTCAGTAAGTAGTAACACAATGCAGTATTTGTGAATATGAGCACCAAGAGTTTAGATTACTTAGTTTTGAATTCCAAAATCTGATGTGTTTCTCTGGATTGCTTATCTTAGCACTCACCAGGAATCTAGAAATTCCTGTGGGCTAGAGGGGAGGGACTTAGGACATGGGAGTTCTATTTCTGAAAGACAGTGCTACTCTGGGTCTGGGTCTTTGTGAGGTATATATCTCATGTACCTCACTTGGCAGCCAGAGAGTGACCTTTGTAAAACTCAAGTCAGATTATGTAATATTGTTATTAAAACCTGTCATGGCTGACTGTCTTTATAGCAAGTCCAAACACCTCAATATAACACAAAATTCTATTATTGCTAACTTTTTTAGTCTCATTCCTTATCACTCACTCTTTTACACTTGACCCTTTAATTGTACAGCTTAGAGTTTGAGTTCATCCCTTGCTGTGCCTCCCACAGAACTTAGTCCATATGATCTCTCTTTCAAAACACCTTCCCTGGCATCTTTCCTTGGTTAGTGCTTATTTACAGCTTAGATGTTACATCCTTTGGGAAGCCTAGTTCGATGCCCTAGATCAAGTTGGTGCCCGCTTGTGCTAGCTCCTGTCATGTTTTATTATAATTACTTTTTATCACTATGCAGAAAACTCAGTAGGAATAGTATTTTGTTCATTTTAGTAGCTCAGCCTAGCATAATTTCTGGCATGTAGTAACTACTGAATAATATCTGTAATTTATAAGTAATACTTAGGTGGCCTATTTTATATGTATTAAAGAGGAAATTAACTCAGAATTGCAAATTACGGCTTTACTGAATCCCCCCACAAGATCTCTTAGGGCTGTGTTTTCAAACTGGAACATATGTCAATATCACCTGCTGTTGAAACATAGACCTGGGCTTTCTGACTTGATAGGTCAGAGTAGGGACCCAAGAATGTGAATTTCTAACCAAATGAAACCAGTGCTCTTGGTCCAGGGATCATACCTTTGATTCACTGCTTTAGAGAATTTTTTTTTCCATTAGTATCTCTCTTCAATCTTCCATTGGTGATTTTAGATTTCCAAATTTGCACAATAAGAATTTTATCCAGTAGCATAGGATAACTATAGTACTTCTTGCAATGATATTGTGTGTTTTCTTTATAGAAGTATTATAGTTTATATTTCATAATAGAAGCTGTGGTACATTGACTTTTCTTTTAATTTTTTTTTTAATAGAGGCTTTTTTTTTTTAATAATAAATTTTATTTTTATATTCCCCCATACAATTGCAAAAGCCCCATTCTGACCCCAATCCTTCCCTTCCCGCCCCCCACCCACGAAAAAGTGTCTCTGGTTCATAGTTCTTTGTTGATTTTGATTTTCACTTTCTTGTATTCATTTTCCTGGTCCCTTATTTAAGTTTTCTAGATTCCTGCTATGAGTGAGACCATCCGGTATTTTTCTTTTTCTTTTTGGCTTATTTCACTGAGCATGATCCCTTCCAGCGCCATCCATGTTGCTGCAAATTGCATGTGTTTATCTTTTTTGAATGCTGAGTAATATTCCATGGTATATATGTACCACATCTTCTTGATCCAGTCATCTATTTTTGGGCATTTGGGTTGTTTCCAAAGCTTAGCTATTGTAAACAGTGCTGCTATAAACATAGGGGTGCAGGTGTTCTTTGGAATGGATGTTTCTGTGTCCTTTGGGTAAATACCTAGGAGTGGAATTGCTGGATCCTATGGAAGCTCTATGTTTAGTAGGTCCAGAAATCTCCACACAGCTCTCCATAGTGGTTGGACCAGTTTGCACTCCCACCAACAGTGCAGAAGAGTTCCTTTTTCTCCACACCCTCGCCAACATTTGTTGTTGCTAGTTTTTTTAATATGTGCCATTCTCACTGGTGTGAGATGGTATCTCATGGTAGTTTTGATTTGCATTTCCCTGATTACAAGTGATGTTGAACATTTTTTCATATGTCTGTTGGCCATTTGCATTTCCTCTTCAGAGAAGTTTCTTTTTAGCTCTTCTGCCCATTTTTTGACTGGATTATTTTCTTTGTTGTTGCTGAGTCTCATCAGCTCTTTGCAGATTTTTGTGATCAGTCCTTTATCATTAGTGTTGGGTGCAAAAATGTTCTGCCAGTTGGTGGGGTTTCTCTTTGTTTTTGTTATTGTCTCTTTTGCTGTGCAGAAGCTCTTTAATTTGATGTAGTCCCAGCTGTTTATCTTTGTCTTCACTATCACTGCTTTGGGTGATGTGTCTGTAAAGATGTCTTTGATGTGCAAATCACGTAGTGTTTCGCCTATATTTCCTTCTATGTATTTTATGGTTTCAGGTCTTATGTCTAGTTCTTTAATCCATTTTGAGTTGATTTTTGTGTATGGTGTGAGGTAGTGGTCAAGCTTCATTCTTTTGCATGTAGCGACCCAGTTTTCCCAGCACCATTTATTGAACAAACTTTCTTTGCTCCAATGCATAGTCTTTGCTCCTTTGTCAAAGATTAGGTGACCATAAATCTGTGGGTTTATTTCTGGATTTTCTATTCGATTCCATTGGTCTGTATGTCTGTTCTTGTTCCAATACCATGCAGTTTTGATGATTATGGCTTTGTAGTATAGTTTGAAGTCTGGGAGTGTGATGCAATAGAGGCTTTTTTTTTTTTTTATTTTTTGTTTGTTTTGTTTATACATGCACTGGGTACAGTCAGAAGCGCGGGAGGGTGAGAGAATTCACCAGAGCCAGAGCAGGGAGCAGAGCTGGCAGAGGGACCAAAGTACACTGCTGAGGGGAGCAGCGGGCTGCAGGAGAGGTCTGCGCACCATGTGGGACCCTCCTCCGGTGGCCGGGGAGCAGCCGGGGATCGAACCGGCGCAGCAGAGGCCGCGGGCAGCTTCGCAACCCAGCGCTCAACCGCTGCGCCACTGGGGAGGCCCGGTATATTGACTTTTAAGATGTAAAAGAAAAAAATTAAATGCAAGGGGGCCATCTTGTGGTGACCACAGCAATTCAGAAAACTTAAAAAAATTGAAGCTCATTCTTTAATATATATTTGATGGCACCTGGAAAAATGTTTGCAGACTATGAATTATTTTATATATTTTACTTAGTTTTCTTTTTGCTTGGCAAATTCTTTACCCACACTTTTGTGTCATACTTTGTCCTCAATAGCAGATGATTTTATTACACTTTGTTTCCCTAAGAAGTTTTAGATTCCTCTCTTGGATCAGCAACTTATGGAGAAAAATTGAATTTGATACTTATTCTTTTGATCAGCATTGAATATTCTTTACCATTTTTCATTTTAGGTGATATAAATAGTGGAATAACTGCTGACTGTTTTCTGAACTGAACTTTATATAATAATTAAACAATGGAAAGTGAAGAATTTATTGTAAGTTTTACATGTATATCTTAAATGTTGCCCTTTATTACATCTGGTAACCTTTCTCTTGCTCACTGTTAACATTTTGTTATACAAAGTCCTTTGTATCAAATTCTTTGGAAGTTTCTTTCTCTGGAGGAGCTAGTATGCCTCTGTTTCTAAACCAGTGCTTCATAAACTGAGGATACTGTTATACCCTTAAAAATTATTGAGGATCCAAAGATTTTTTTGCTTATGATGCTTATATATAACTATCATTTCCGTTCACACTAGAAATTATAATAGAAACATGAAAAATATGTATTAATTCATTAAAAATGAATTTTTAAGGAGATAGAAAATAGCTATATTTTCTAAAATAACAGGAAAAAAATTGATAAGGGTATCACTGCTATATATTTTTTGCAAAGCCCCACAACATTTGACAATAGAAGACAGCTAAATTCTCAGATCTGCTTCTGCATTTAATCTGAAATTGAATCTTGGAATATTGCACATATGCAAGTCTAGGAGAGTCCACTATGCATACCCAAAGGAATGTAAGTGAAAATAAAAATAACCCCGTGAAAACGGTTTTGACCTACAACCCCTGAAAATGTTATGGGGCCCTCTGTGAGCCTCCGGACTACACTTTGAGAACTGCATACAGCATGAGTAGGTACAACCCACCAAACTTTTTCCTTTACCATCAGCAAAAGTTTCCCACCAAAACTATTTTTGTTTTTCAGTTAACTTTTCAGTAATTTTACCTTTCCTTTTGCCCCTCCCTTTTTACTACCTGGTTTCCTTTAAAAAGAAAAATTGATGCTTTGTTGTAATTGTTATGATATCTATGGTTTTATTTTGATAAAAGATGTCTTTCTATTTACAAAGGGTATATAAATGTATAGATTTGGATACATAGAAATACAAACCATTCTTTACTTTCATACCTTTTGAAATAAGGTACTGTATACTCATCAAAAGATGAAGAAGTCGAAAGTGTGGCAAGATGGACTTCTGAAGATCACTCACGTGGGAAACAAAGTAAGTACAAAGCAGTTGACTACAGAGTCCAAAAGCTAAGTTCTAGCCTTTTGATTGAATGTTAAGGGAAAGGTTATAGATAATAAAATGTTAGCTATGTTCATTAGTTGACATAAATGAAAACAGAAGCTGTCAAATGAGTAGTACCACATCAGAGTGATAATTTGTTCTTTCTAAAAGCTCAGTAGATAGTAATTGGCTTTAGGGACCTAGAAATCAAGAAAGAGTTCTGGGCTGCTGCTAATGACTGGGAATCCTAGGTATTTGGATAGTATTTAAAGCTCCTGGAGTGGGTACTTTGATTCATTTATTCAAGAGCTATTTTTTTGAACACCTGTTATAAATTAGGCACTTTCCCACTGTTGAAGGGCATGAAGAAGTCCATGACTTTGTAGAAATTATATGGAGGAGACAGACCAGTAAGCTAAATGAATATAGATGGGTGTATATATATTTATATATGTGTGTGTGTCTGATGGGTTAGGGAACCAGCTAGGAGTAGAGCAAACAAAGCAAGAATGAACATAAAAGAGATATGAAGGCCTTGTTGGTCACTGTAAGACTTTTGTTTTTATTCTTTAGGAGCTGTGGAGACATAGGAAGGATTTGAGCAAAAATTGACACATTCTCATCTGTATGGATGAGGATCATAGTGCCTAGGGTATAGAAAGTAAATAATCAAGTAAAAAAGAGCCCTCAGAAACGCAAATTTTAAAAACAGCCTTATCGAGCTATAGTTCACATACTTTCAATTCATCCATTTAAAGTATACAATTTAGTGGTTCTTAGTATATTTGCAGAGTTTTGTGACCATTACCACAATCCATGCAAAACTGTCTTATAAAGTAAAGTAATGGAAACTGTAATATTTAAGAGTCTAGTGGAGAAACTGCTGTGAAAACTGGCAAGTGACACAAGGTGAAGTCAGAAATCAGTAATAACCGTCCGTTCCTTTCTCGCCCATATACCTTATATTCAACAAGTTTTATTCATTATATATCATAAACTATTATCCCAATGCTGATGGCTTACTTCAAGCGATAATCATCTCCCCAGTGCTTCCTACTTCAGCTTTCCTGATCTCATCCCCTGTTTTGCCCCCTAGACTGCATTCCAATTCCATTTTCCTTCTAATTCCTTTCCAAGATTCTCCTGGTGGCATTAAGGTTCTTGAATTTCTTATGCATGTGCTTTTATTCTCTTGGCACAGATTAAGTAGATGCTTAGTAAATACTTGAAATAGATGTGTTTCCTAATCCAGGTTAACAAAGTGGTTAATCCTTTCATTACATGATTTACTTATGTAACAATTTTTGATTTGCTACTGAAGATGTTTAAGAAAACAAAATTATGCCCTGTTCCTTTTTAACATTGATTTTGTTTTTATCAGGCAATTTTATATGATGACAAAGGAGAATGTTTGGACAGTATATTTCTTAAGTGCCCTGAGGTATTTTAATGTTTCTAATTTTTAAGTTGTTATTTTAAAATCTCTTTCAATACTTCCTCTTTGAATATGGTTAACTAGTATCATCATGGTACTAGTAGTAATAATTAGAGTATTTATTGAAGAATCAGCCAGACTTTGTGCTTCTAGGTCTTGTGTCACTGAATCTCCACACAGCGCTGTGGTTTGTATAGACTGGGACTGTGGCACAGAAGCGTTAGTAACTTGTCCCTGTTCACAGTTACAGTGTGGGCTGGGATTTGAACCCTGAAGGTCCCTTTGTAGTCTAAATCTCTTACATGGTTTTGCTACATAGAGGACTACTTATTTTGTGAAATTATTCCTTTTCAACATATTTTCTGCTTTTGTACTTTTTTAATATTTTGTGCTTTTCACATGTTGGAAAAAGGAAGGGAGGGGAATGAAAGGCATATTTTAGTATAAACAGTAAAGATTTTAGAGTTGGCCATTCTGGGTCCACACCCTTCCTAGCACCTGACCTCTCTGGCTAATGTCTCTTCTATAAAATGACCACTGACAGACCTCACTGGGTTGGTCTGAAAATTAGAAATAACTTGTATAGCTTGTTAGTCATTTATTACAGTGATTCTAAAAGGGTTCAAGTGCATATTTTTATTTTTTTAAAGTTGGTGTCCATAACTTTTAAAAAAAGATTTATTATTTTTATATTATTATTTATGCATACAAGAACTGGGGTGCAGGCCAGAGGTGCGGGGGGTGAGATGATCACCAGAGACAGAGTGTGGAGCAGAACAGGTGGATCTACTGAGATACACTGCTGTGGGGAGCAGTGGGCAAGACAGGAGAACTCTGTTCTGCCATGTGGGTCAGCTCCCTGGCCAGGGATTGAACTCATGCTGCAGTGGCTGCCTATAGCTTGAGAGCACTGAGACTAAACTACTTGTGCCACCAGGGGGCCCCTAATGCCTGTTATTTTAAAAAATCATTTAGTTGTATGAATTCTAAGTGTACTCCATGAGAAGGGTATAAATCTTTATATCCCAGCATATAGTTCAATTTGTTCATTGTTAAATGAACAAATTGGTAATTTTTTTTGTTCTGTTATTATCCTTTTTTGTGCTTGTTGATAATTACGTAGAAAATAGTAATAAAGAATGTAGTTTTTATTCCTTCATTCAGCAACTGTTTATAGAACATTATGTCTTGGTAGTGAACTTATAGAAATACGTTGATAATTAAATAATTAGAACTATATGATTTTGACATTTATTCTATAAAATTTAGGTGAAACCTGGAGATGACTTAGAAAGTGATCACTACCTAATCACAGTCGAAGAGGTTAAAGCTGCTGGAAGCCTAACTATGCAACAAAATGTCATTAAAGAAGCACCAGCATTAAATTCAAGAAGGTTCATATCCTCTGGTCGGTCCCTTGGATGTCAGCCTGCTGGCTTAAAAAGGAAGTTTACTGTAAGTTTCTTTGTGGAAAATAATATATCATTATACATTTGTAAGATCATTTCAAGAAGTACTGAGTTTTGCCTCCCCTGGTGGTGCAGGGGTTGAGCGCTGGGCTGGGAAGCTGCCCGCAGCCCCTGCAGTGCTGGTTCAATCCCTGGCCGCCAGCTAGGGTCCCAAATGGTACAACAGACCTCTCCTGCCGTACCCGCTGCTCCCCTCAGCAGTGTATTTCATCAGTTTGCCTGTTCTGTTCCCCGCTCTGGCTCTGGTGAAGTCTCTCACCTTCCTGCGCTTCTGACTGTACCCAGTACTTGTATAAATAAATAAATAAATCTTTAAAAAAAAAAAAAAAGTACTGAGTTTCGAAACAACTATACTCTCATTAAAATGGTACTTTATAGTACATACTTAGGCAGAAAGGAGGTAAACTCTAATTATTAAAAAAAGCTTAATACAGGGCCTCCCCGGTGGCGCAGCAGTTGAGCGCTGGGTTGCTAAGCTGCCCGCAGCCTCTGCAGTGCCGGTTCGATCCCCGGCTGCTTCCTGGCCCCTGAGGAGGATCCCACATGGCACGCAGACCTCTCCTGCCATCCGCTACTCCCCTCAGCAGTGTGCTTTGGTCCTTCTGCCTGCTCTGCTCCCGGCTCTGGCTCTGGTGAATTCTCTCACCCTCCCGCGCTTCTGACTGTACCCAGTGCTTGTATAAATAAATAAAAGTAAATCTTTAAAAAAAAAAAAAAAGCTTAATATAGATGAGTGTTTGCATTTTAACTTTGCAAACTTTCTATCTGGATTATTATATTACCTTACAAGACACACATATTCCTTTTGCTCCCTTTTATAAAAAGCTGGTTTGTTTCACATTGTCTTTGTACTTACTGGAACAGCAAATAATTGTTTTAATATTTTCAGGGTTTTCAAGGACCACGTCAAGTGCCAAAAAAAATGGTTATCACAGAAAATCATGAATCAGCTACATCACTTGAGGCTAAGAAACCTGGCCCTGTTTTTCTTAATCCAGTCTACAGTACATCTCCTTTGTTTTCTACCACTGGGAAGAAAGAGGAAAATACTACACCAACAGATCCTGAGAACACTGTGACTTATAACAGCACAGCGGTAAATGCCATGCCTTTTTCTTCAGTTGTCACTACTCCATCCTTCACGTTTAACCCAGAAATGCTACGTGAAGAAAAGTATTTTTGCTCTCCGGGCAGTTCTGTAGACCAGCATTCAGGTTTTTCACTGATGAAGGAGGCCCTGGCAAGAGACGGTTTGGCGTCCCACTCTTCAGGAGTTTCACAAAACATAAGAAGCAAAGCACAGATTCTAGCTCTTTTGAAGTCCCATTCAACTCGTATGCCTCAAGAACTAAATTGTGAGACTGCAGGGCGTTTTCCTCAGCTACAACCACAAGGAAAGTTAAAAATGCCCACAACACCAAGGTGTGTCATTGAACAGGAAGAGTACATCAAGGTAAAGAGCACAGAAAGTTTACATCACCAGCAGCCATCAGAAAACACTCTGAGGAACACAAGTCGGTGGAGCAAGTATTTATCGTCACGGAGTTCACCTGTATGTTCTCCTACTGGAGATGAAAATACAGAAAGGAAATACACGAACCAGGAAGAGAGCATAAATTTAAATCCGAAAGACCCTTTGATGCAAAAAAGCACACAGTTCTTTGAAACTTGTGCTGAAAAGGGGAAAAATTATAATGAAGACACTCTGGTAGATGATGATCACTTTTGGGATCAAGAAGTAAACTTGCAGACTCCTTTGTTCTGTGAAACCAATAGCTTACGTGTTACCTATAGCAATGTAGAAAATGATGACTTATTGTTAGAATCTGGGGATCATGGAAACTATGAAATACCTGTAAAGCAAAATGACTGTATGCGCATGAAAGATTCGATTCTCATTGGAGAAAATGCTCAGAAGATAAATATATGTGGAGTACCAGACAAGGAGTATAAACAAGCAGTATCAAATCTGCCTGAATCTGAACAGCTAGTAATTGAATCTTTTCTAAGTAATAATTCTCAGATCTCAGATAATATTATGGACATGCTTCCTAATACGGGTAATCAAAGTGTTAATAGCAGTCATGAACCTATGTGTGCTGTAACACAGCCCCTTGTGGAGGTAACTTTTAATCTGACCAATTTTGAAACCAGTGACACTGAGGAGGAATCACAAGAAAGCAACGAAATTCCTCAGAATTCCGAGGGCTGGGTAACAGAAGCTTTGATTCATGGTGGCCATTCAAGTGTTCAGAAGAGATGTGAGGATACCGGCTGTGAAGAAGCTGGCAGTGAACATTCGCCTCCTTCACTATCTACTGTGGGCAAACCTACAGAGATATTTCCTTTTAAAGAGGTTCTGCCATCACAATTTTGTGATCGAACTCATGCAGGCTTTGACACAAGACCTTGTAATGTGGCAGACACTGGAAAAGAAACAGAGAAAGCAGATAGTGACTCATTAAACCATTTTGACTCATCATTAGAGTGGCCAGATGATGCTTATGTAGATAATAGTGAAGATGCGAATCAACCTAGCCAAGTCAGAATTAACTATGATTTAGCTTCACTCCTGAATAAACCTAAAGGTACAAAGACAAATTTACATACACTTGATTTAAACATGGCTACTAATCAGACTTCCAAAAACAACTTATCTTCGGAACAGGCTCAATCTCAGGCTTTTATTTTGGGAAGTGATTTAGAGAAGAATGATGAACAGATTTTACTATCAACCTCTGTAAGTGATGGCAGTGTCCAGCTATTAAACCCCAATCAGAATCATTCTGAAGAATGTATTGCACTTGCTAAGTCAAGCAGCCAAGTTTCAAATTCTTTGTTTTACCCTCTGGGAAAAAGACATACTATTTCCAAAGACAAAGAAGTATATATTCCTGAATCTGAAGATCTAGGAAGGATTAGAAATTTACTCCATGGTCCTAATGAAGTAGAAACTGAGAGAGAAAAACACAACTGGAATAATCCTAGAAATTCTTCAGAACTTTCTGAATTAGTGAATAACATTTCCCTCTTAAAGTCATTGTCTGAACATAGTACAGCTTTAGAAGGCTTGGAAATATTGGAAAAGCAAAGTACTACCTTTAGACAGCAAGAAAGTCTACAGGCTTATGAGCCAGAGAGCAGTCCTGAAGGTTAGTTAGGATGGCACACTTGTTTTGGATTGTTCATTCTCTTTTTATTTCCCCATGGTGGAAATATTTAATTATGATCTTAATTTTGTTTGTTTGCTTTAAGAAAATACTGACACTTCCTATCAGTTTCAGTATGACAAATTTTTTGTTTTAGCAATGTGGCCATTTATACTGATGTAATTTTCTTTTTTATGAAATTCTTTTTATTATTTTGAGTCTTTTGACTTATATATTTTATGTTCTTTGATTTTAAAATTTTTATTGACATAACATTGGTTTATAACATAGATTTCAGGTGTGTAGCATTACATGACATGTATATATGCTACATTATGTTAGAGGATTATTCTCTTTATAGCCCAAATGATGAGAAGATATTTGTTGTGGAGGCTTTGTTAAAAAATTACATCATATTTAAATAAGTAATAAAGTGACTCTGTAAAATCATTCTAATAGAGGATAACAGTAAAAAGTCTCCTTAACCACAGTCCCTCAGACCAGTCTCAGAATTAGCTACAGCTAATTCCCAGTGCTGTGCTCAACTCACTGCACTACCAGGGAGGCCCCATAATCACTTTTATTTTTTTTTTTCCAAAGATTCATTTATTTATACAAGCACTGGGTACAGTCAGAAGCACGGGAGGGTGAGAGAATTCACCAGAGCCAGAGCGGGGAGCAGAGCAGGCAGAAGGACCGAAGGACATTGCTGAGGGGAGCAGCGGGCGGCAGGAGAGGTCTGGGTGCCATGTGGGACCCTCCTCCGGTGGCCTGGGATCGAACTGGCACCGCAGAGGCTGCGGGCAGCTTTGCAACCCAGCGCTCAACCGCTGCGCCACCAGAGAGGCCCCAAAATCACTTTTAAATAATAGTCTTCCTGGTGACTTAGAAAACACTAAGATTATTGAATGTACACTTTTTCTTTTAAGAAAAGATCCCTATTTTGAAACAGCAGATAAGATGCATGGTCTAGCCATCCCGTCTGCTCCATTCCCAGACTTCCCAGCCTCCCTGTCTCACAGTCTTTATGCTCACTTGGTCTTTAGTCTGAACAAACTTACCCCTACCCATGTCTTCAGGTCTCAGCCTACATGTTACTTCCCATGAGAAGTCTTCTGATTTAGGGCATCCTGTCTCTAATTATTCTGCTATATCCCCCTTTGCTACCTTGATATCACAATCTGAATTCATGTGGCTTGCTGGTTAATCTGTGTTCCTCCCTTTTCCAGAGACCATGTTTGTCTTGCTCACTGCTGCTTCTCCAGTACCTGGCACACTGTACTTAGAAAGTAATTGTTAAAGTATTTGTCCCAAGCCAGAGATAGCCTCACAAGTAGCAGTAAGTGCTTTTTCCCTTTTCTGCATGCATACATAGCAGCAGCATAATGGTGGTTTGACTTTCTTGCTTCTAACAGTTGGTTAATATGTCAGCATTTCTAGTATAGGTTATTAAATATTGACTCTGCTTTTCTATTTTAAAGAAAAGAAAACACTTCTATTACTACTGTAACCAAAAAAGTTCTCAGTCTAAATTATTTTGTATTTTTACTGTAAACATGTATGTGTTCACAGAGAATTGAATACTCACAATCCAGATTCAACAATTACCAAGATCTTGCCTCATCTTAAAATTTAAATTGTATTCCTTGTTTCATTCAATTAAAAAAACATTAAGTTTAGGGCACTAAAATGTGTGTGATGCAAATAAGAGCCTTTGATCTCATCCATTGTAGCTAGGAAACCATTGACTACAGTAGCTTCACAAGCTATAGCACAGTCACCTCGTCTGAACCAAGATTCTCAACAGGTACGTATTTTTTCTATTGGTATATTTTAGTTTGATATAGAATGTTCTATAATTTGTAATGAGACTGGTAATGGAGAGGTCCATATGTCTTAAACTTAATGATGATGCTGCAGTTGAACTCATTTTCTAAGTTACGTTTTATATTGGAAATTGTGGTCATTTTATGTAGTTACTTGATAAACTAAAAATACCAATTGCTTTCGTCTCCATTTTGTGTTTTAGGTTAACAAAAGTGGATTGATTCTTTAGATTAAACTGTTACACTGCTTACTATTTTTCCTCCTATAGTTTCATACTAATTTTAAGAGAAATAGTCCAGATTTATGTAACTTAAGTATCAGGTTTCATGTGTGATTTATAACACTCCCAACAATTTTTCCAGTGTTTTGATTAAAATTTTAGAGGTCTAATTTTCTAATATGGTGAGTTTTAAAATTAATGACCATGGGACCTTCTCTGCTAGAGCTTTCCTTTGCCGGGTGTTAAATTATGTGCAAAGAAATACAGATGGAGCTGAAGAGTGTATTTTCAAAGTACAAACCACATGAAGCTTGGGGAACATTTTCCCATCATGTTCATGAACCATCTCCAGAACTATTCTAACATACATTGCTATTTTATTTCAGTTCTTTTCATTGGAAGGTGAAGAAAAGCCTGCTTTTCTACCTGTTTTGTCTGAACAAAAAGAGAGAAAAACCAGTGACCATAAGGTAAGAACTTACTTTGTAATCAACTGTTCTGTTTTTTCCACATATATCGAGGTTTTCATAGACAGAGGTTAGTGAGCTTATGAATTAACCTGGTTTTAAGAGCAACAGAAACTAATGACTTTTTTTCAGTCTTGACTAAAAAGTCTCCTCAGCCATTTTAGTCCTCTATTACTAACGCACTAAACATTGTATGTGTGTGCATGTGTATATAGATGTGCGCGCGCACACACACACAGGACTGGGGGGTAGGGGAGTGTTGGACTCAAAGACATGTGAAGTACAATTAATGAATGTTCTGTGGACAACAAAATGAAGATTTTTATGGCCATTAACTTACAGTCTGCACCACTTCTGCTTACGACTGAATGTGGAGAAGTATTCCCGAAACCCAGAGACCTCTGAAGAGATCTACAGGCAGCACAGAACACAAGGCTTCTGTGTAGAATGTGTTTTCCCATCAAACAGTCTCAGTAGTTGACATACTCTTCATTGGGAGGAGGAATATAGGGGAATCAAATAAGGGATCAAGAAAAAAAAGACAAAATTAGCAGGCAACTATAAATCGAAGACTTTCAGCAGGAGAGGGGTGGGGAAGAGGGATTAAAATGGGCGGGAAGGGACTCCCTGGTGGCGCAAGGGGTTTAGACGCAAGGGGTTATGAAGCTGTCCACAGCCTCTACAGCATGAGTTCGATCCCCGGCCAGGGAGGTGACCTGCATGGTGCAGCAGACCTCGCCTGACTCGCTCACTGCTCCCCTTAGCAGTGTATTTAGGTTGGTCTGCCTGTTCTCTTCCCCGCTCTGTCTCTGGTGAATTCTCTCACACACACCCACCACCCCGCATCTCTGGCCTGTACCCCAGCTCTTGTATGCATAAATAAATAAATATTAAGAAAAATAAAATAAAATGGGCAGAAAGAGCACAAGAGACTGGTGATGGTTCATGGGTGACTTTTTGGTAGTGGGAATTTTACGGGGACTACACACCTGAAATGAGAAAGCAATATGTACAAAAATAAACAGTGATGTAAAATAAATAAATAAACATATATATGTATTAAAAAAAGAAATACTCTTCACTGAAATATGTATGTTTTTAAATTCTGAGTAATTTCAACAAGTCCATATAGGGCATTTTGGATTTGATTTTCCTTTCAAACATGTGATCTAGAGTCATTTTAAAATGAGAAGACATTCAGATTCTAAGTTATTGTAATTTTGTTAGTTTATCAATGGGAAATAAATCAATCCTTTGGGCACTTGGCTCTATTAACAATCCTACCTTTCCACATGCTGGCTTGGCTTGGCTTGGCTTTGTCGCCGTGGGGGAAGTAAAAATCCTAGCACCCTCCAGAGGGCAGCAAAGAGCCATTGGAGGCCAGAGAGCCCACCAGGTTTGAGGGCAAGGGAGACCTCTCAAGGTACAGGTCTGTACAGGAACCCTACTCCCTGGCTTTTACTTTTACAGCAATCACTCCAGATCTTCCTGGGAAGTAGAGAGTGCACCATGCCTTTTGCATGCTAGTTTACAAAACCTTCAAGCAAAGGAAATTGCTTTCTGTGTTCCTTCCTTTTCTTCCCTTACTATAATGCTTAATGATTGCCTCCTACTTGCTAAGCAGTGTTAAATGCCGGTGATAAGCCGATGAAACAAGTTCCCTGCCCTCAAGGACCTTACAGTACAGTTAGTATACAAATAAGAAACCCCACTGTTGTATGTGTAAGTCTATCAAGGACAATTGTGTATTGTACAATGGGAGCATAGGGAAAGGAGCAGCTAAGTCTTTCTGGCTTAATTAGCCCATTATTACTATGGTCATCCTTAGGCGCTTAATATAACAAATCACTTATTAATGTTGAAGTTGAATTCAGGCAAATCAATGTACTTTAAATTAATTGCCCTTAACATATGTTTAGGATAATAGGAGTGTTTCTAGGTTTTCAGCATTAGTCCTTTAGTAATTATTTGTATCAAGTAATATCTAATAGAAAGGTGAATTCTGTATATACATTGTCAATATTTACTTATGCACTTCTCGCTTTTAATAATTTGCTGGTAGCCTGTTCAGTTCCAAGGGCACCCAGTGAGAGGATCAGCTAGCAGTGCGGTGATGCTCAGGGGGCCTAGCTCCCAGCTGGAATGCAGTCAGTTTCCCGAGAGCATTGAGTATGGAAACTGCGTGACAAACACTCATTTTTTGACAACAGAATTGCCCAGCACCTGTACGCAGATTGACTTCTTGCAGGTAAACTATTTTTATAGTTGCATCTTGCCAAGTCATTTTCTTTTTCTTTTTTTTTTTAAGATTTATTTACTTATACAAGCACTGGGGTACAGGCTAGAGGCGCAAGTGGATGAGAGAATTCACCAGAGACAGAGCAGAGAGCAGAACAGGCAGAAGGACTGAAGTACACTGCTGAAGGGAGCAGTGGGCACGACAGGAGAGGTGTGCTGCGCCATGTGGGAATCTTCCTGGCCGGCCAGGAATCACACCAGCAAACGGGTGTATCAAACCACAGAGGCTGCGGACAGCTTCACAGCACTGTGCTCTACTCGCTGCGACACTGGGAGGCCCCAAATCATTTTCTTGATGTCAATGCTAAATTTTGTAAAGAATAGATTTAAATCTTTATATAGTTGCAAGTTAAAAAGGAGTATGGGGGCCTCCCCGGTGGCGCAGCAGTTGAGCGCTGGGTGGCGAAGCTGTCCACGGCCTCTGCAGTGCCGGTTCGATTCCTAGCTGCTCCCCGGCCACCAGAGGAGGGTCCCACATGGCGCGCAGACCTCTCCTGCCGCCCGCTGTTCCCCTCAGCAGTGTACTTTGGTCCTTCTGCCTGCTCTGCTCCCCGCTCTGGCTCTGGTGAATTCTCTCACCCTCCCGCGCTTTTGACTATACCCAGTGCTTGCATAAATAAATAAATAAATCTTAAAAAAAAAAAAAAAGATTAAAAAAAAAAAAGGAGTAGGGTATGCTCAGCGAAATAAGCCAGATAGAAAAAGAAAAATACCGGATGGTCTCACTCATAGCAGGAATCTAGAAAACCTAAATAAGGGCCCAGGAAAAAGAATAACTATAAGAAAGAAAATATCAAAATCAATAAACAACTATGAACCAGAGACACACTGTGGGGGGGGGGCGGGGAAAGGAGGGTTTGGGGTCAAAATAAGGGGGTTGCAATTGTATGGAGAATATAAGAATAAAATTTAAAAAAATAGTCAAAATCCATGATATAATATCCTACTATGCTTCCTTTTATATATTCAATAAAAGTATTATGGGAAAAATAAGGAGTATGGTAAATTGACAATAAGCATAATATCTCAAATTGGTCTAAGTCCCACAAAAATAATTTACTAGAAAGATTTTCTGCCTGTTTAGGATCAGAAATTTAAGGATTACTCTTCATTTTAGAAAAGACAAGCATTTCATGGCAATGCAAATAGGCAGATTACATAAAGGAAATTTATTTAACATTTAGTAGGTTTTTTTTCTTCTTCTAGTATTTTCCATCTATCTCTTAAGTATAACAACTAATAGTCATCTTGTTGACAAATGCAAATGCAGGGCATGAAAATAGAGGTCAGGGAGAGAGAATGATGTGCATGTATCTTAAACAGTATCTGTTAAAAAGATTTTACCAAACATGTCCCCTTTAATATTAAAGCATAGTGCAGGGCCTCCCCAGTGGCGCAGCGGTTGAGTGCTGGGTTGCGAAGCTGCCTGCAGCCTCTGCAGCACCAGAGGAGGGTCCCACATGGCACGCAGACCTCTCCTGCCGCCCGCTGCTCCACTCAGCAGTGTACTTCCGTCCTTCTGCCTGCTCTGCTCCCTGCTCTGGCTCTGGTGAATTCTCTTACCTCCTGTGCTTCTGACTGTACCCAGTGCTTGTATAAAATAAATAAATAAATAAATAAATAAATCTTAAAAAAAAAATCTTAAAAAAAAAGCATAGTGCACACACATGGGTCTCCCCTGGTGGTGCAGGTGGTTGAGCACAGCGTTGTGAAGCTCTCCGCAGCCTCTGCAGCATGGGTTTGATTCCCGGACGGCAGGGAAGATACCCACATGGCACGGCAGCCCTCTCCTGTTTCGCCCACTGCTCCCCTCAGCAGTGTACTTTGGTCCTTCTGCCTGTTCTGCTCCCCACTCTGTCTCCCCTCCTGTGCCTCTGGCCTGTAACCCAGTGCTTGTATAAATAAATAAATCTTTAAAAAAAAAAAAACACAGTGCAGAAACAAAATAAGCACAGAGACCACAAGTGTCCAGCTCAGTGAATTACCATAAAGTGAATCACCCATATAGTCACCAGCCTTACAAAATTGAGCATTAACAGCACCCCGGCAGTCCCCTTCTGTCTCCCCTTTCAATCTTTACTCCTTCCATTCTCCCCAAAGATAAGTGACACCAGGAGCCTCCCTGGTGGTACAAGGGTTAAAGTCTTAGCACTGTCAAGCTATCACCAGCCACTGTGGTCTGAGTTTGATCCTCCTACCATCTCCCTCCCAGGGAATTGACCCACATGGCTCTGTCACATCTGTGGACTGTGCTACACAGGTGTAAAAACATCATAATTTTTAAGGTGGATCCCAGTTTTAAGGTGCATCAGAGACACTATGATGTAAAAAAAATTTAAGCCATAAGAATGGATAGAAGATGATAGTCTATTTTGCCTGAATAGAACGGACTTCATATTTTCTTGTCTTTTTGTCTTTATGTTATAACCATAAACAGTATATATGTGTAGATAAGGATACAAATATGCACTCATGGGCAAGCTTTTTTTAAAATAGCTGATAAATGGACCTTTGTTTCCAGTTCCCAGGTAAAGAAAACTTTTCAAAAAGAGCCACTGGCTTCAATATTGAAGGTAACTTTCAAGAGGTAGCTGAGTCTGAGAACAACTCAATTGAAAATGATTGTAAGTGAAATATAATATTGAAGAGTCATTTGAAGTTGAACAACTTATATGGGTAAAAATCCATGTTTTTTTTTCCCACATAGCAATTTTAGGTTTCTCTCCTAAAAATTCAGAACATTCATATCAATATTTGGATTGTAATTTTAATTCAGCAAAGAGGACTTCTTAGAAAGCAAATAAGGTATAACATAAACAAAGTTTTATACTTGTGAGTAAGGATTTAGTAGCTTATTAAGTAATGAATCAATAAATACTGAAAATAAAAATCTTTAGGTGGATGACTTTTTCAAATATGACCCAGAATATTTATCAACAACGAACCAACATTATTTCACTGATGAAAAGCCAGAGTAGGGCCTTCCTGGTGGTGCAAGTGGTTGAGCATAGCACTGTGAAGCTGGCTGCACCCTATGCAGCACGGGTTCCATCCCCGGCTGGCCAGGGAAATACTCATGGTGTAGCAGACCTCTCCTGTCTCGCCCGCTGTTGCCCTCAGTAGTGTTTTCTGTCCATCTGCCTGTTCCGCTCTCCCCTCTGTCCCTGGTGAATGCTCTCACCCTCCCGCACCTCTGGCCTATACCCCAGTTCTTATATGCAAAAAATAAATAATTTTTTTAAAAAGAAAAGCCAGAGTAATTTCTAACTAGAAATTTCTACTAGTAATTTCTATTACTGATAACAGGATATGAACAACTATCATTTGTGTTAATGAAAATTGTGTTGATTTTTGCAGTATCACTTGAAGTGAGAGGCATACATAATTAGAAAGGAAGAAATAAGAATTAGAAGAATCGGGGCCTCCCCAGTGGCGCAGCGGTTGAGCGCTGGGTTGCGAAGCTGCCCGCGGCCTCTGCGGCGCCGGTTCGACCCCCGGCTGCTCCCCGGCCAATGGAGGAGGGTCCCACATGGCGCGCAGACCTCTCCTGCCGCCCGCTGCTCCCCTCAGCAGTGTACTTTGGTCCTTCTGCCTGTTCTGCTCCCCGCTCTGGCTCTGGTGAATTCTCTCACCCTCCCGCACTTCTGACTGTACCCAGTGCATGTATAAACAAACAAACAAACAAACAAATAAATAAATAAATAAAACATGCCTCTAAAAAAAAAAAAAAGAATTAGAAGAATCAATTAAAAATTAAAAGTTCAGGGCCTCCCTGGTGGCGCAAGGGGTTAAGACAACCTATGAAGCTAACTGCAGCCACTGTAGAATGTGTTCGATCCCCAGCCAGGGAGCTACCCACATGGCGCAGCAGACCTCTCCTGACGCACCCACTGCTCCTCTCAGCAATGTATTTCAGTCAGTCTGCCTGTTCTGCCCCCCACTCTGTCTCTGGTGAATCCTCTCACCTGCCCTACACCTCTGGCCTGTAACCCCGTTCTTGAATGCATAAATAAATAAATCTTTTAAAAAAAATTAAAAGTTCAATAACTTTGTAAAGAAGCTAAAGGCACAATTTGAAAATTAATAGCTTTCCTAAACTAATTAGAAAATATAACTTGAAAAAAGTCCCAACATTAGTAAGTAGTGACATGCGATGCCCAGCCTGATCTTAATCAGAACTGTGTGGAGCATGTGTGAACTAGAGGATTTAATTTTACTGCGATCTATAAAATCCACAAATCAATAGGAATTGGTTGTTACTGAGTGTTTTCTGTAGGTCAGGAACTTGTAAGACGTGGGTATAGAGTGACGGATAAAACAGGTAAGCATTTAGAGGTCAGCAGGGCCAGAGAAGTGTTAATCAAGAGAACAGGAAACTGCTATGGAGGAAAGCCATAAGGGTTCTGAGAAAGTACAGGGGGATCTGCTTTTGAATGGACGACTAAGAAAGACTTCCAGTTATGGCAACAGCTCGGGGGAAGAATGCACTAGGTAAAGCTGCAGCAAGTGTAAATATCTTGAGATTGAAAAGATTTGGGTGGGCTTGAGCAAGTGAAGGGAAAACCTAAGTAAGTAAGAAAGGTGATCAGAGAATAAGACTGGAAAGTGAGCAGGGCCTGCATACAAAGTCTTGCAGGGCAGGTTAGGAACTTAGATTTTAATCTGTGCTTCACTGGGAAATCACTGGTTGTCAGCAGAAAGTCTCATGCCTTAATTTACATTTTTTAAAGCTTGTGCTGACTGCTGTGTGAAAGATGCATTTGATGGACGTGGTGCTGGAAGCAGAGAAGCCAGTTAAGAGGGGCCTGGATGGTGATGACTTGTAATAGGGATGGGATGGTCAACATATGAAGGAAAGTATAAAGGAGTCAATACACAGGTTTAAGATAAATTTGGGGGGTAGAAGCATAGATGTTTCTAGGCTGGATATGGACAGTAGGGTGAAGGAAAGGGAGAAGAGAGATTCCTGGCTCGCTAATTTAGCAGCTGGATGGACTGAGGTGGTTTTCACCAATTGCAGTATATACCTCTGCTTGACTCACCCTAACAAAATGCCACAAATGGATATTTTGTCACCGTTGTGGAGGTAAGAAGTCCCAGATCAAAGCTTTGGCCAATTTGGCTTATGGTAACAGCTCTCATTGTGGCTTACAGGTGGCTGCCTTCTCACTATATTCTCAGGTGGCCTTTGCTGGTGTGTCACATGGAGTGAGCTAGCAAGCTGTCTTCTTATGAAGACAGTAGTTCCTTCTGATCAGGACCCATTCTTAGGATTTCACGTAGCCTTTATTACTTCCTAAAGACCCTGTGCCCAGAGTCCATTAGAGGTTAGGACTTTGCATGTGAAATTTGCAGGGCTAGGTGATGGGGGTACAACTCAGTCCACAGGGAGGAGAAACAGGTTTGGTGAGCATATAGGAATAGATGTGGCATGTCTGTGAGATAGTCAGATGGAGATGTGAAGTTGAGCACATAGGTTTGTTCCACAGGAGAAGTCTGTGTGATCATTGGCATGTAGGAAAGTTTAAAGCAATGAGAATGGATGGGTTCATTTCAATAGAGTATACAGAAAAGTGTGTTATCCCATTCTGAAGTATCAGGAGGTTGAAGGGGCCCTTGTCATTTATTGTAGAGGCATCCGATAAAATGAAAATAGAAACACGCATTTGGCAACTTGGAGATCATTGGTGACCTTGGCAGGAGCAGTTTCACTCAAATAGTAAGAACAGAAATCAGTTTAGAGTGGATTAAATAAATTGTAAGCGAGAGGTAAGGAAGTGGAGATAGCAGCTATGATGAACTCCTTAAAAAGATAAGCATATTTCATCGATCTGTCAATCAGCCATCAAGTATCAAGTTTCCTGAACAACTTAACCATGAGCTGGAACTAGATTTGGTCATGGGTGGATGATATTAAAAAAGAAACTTTGTAGTGTGAAAGGGTAGTTGGGATGGGTAGTTAGGTAGTGGGTGTGGCTGGGGGGGAAGTGATGGTCTGGGCCGAGGGGTAATACAAAACAAGTGGAGGGACAACTGAGTAAAAGGGGGTTTCACAACATCAATCTTCCACTCTGTAATGACCGACTTGTTAACAAATACATCCTAATGCTTTATAAAAGAATATTGACTTACCGACTAGTCTATCAAGAAGGTATAGTATTATAGAACCACAGCACTATCAGATAAAAATGTTAAAGCTTATGTAGTCCCATGCAGTATTCTTTATTCATCTATTTATTCAAATTTTCAGAACTGTAGCTAAAATATGCTATACCCTGAGTTCACCAGAATTGAACTCCTATCACACACCAATAGATAGAAAACTAAAAGTCTTCATTAAAATGAAGGCCAACATATTAATCATGAGTGTAGTAAATATGTAAAGGGAGTACAATCACATAGTCAGATAAAATAACCATGAACTCTGGGGGAGGAACATAAAGCAGAGAGCAGTTCTAGTTCTGGGTTCTCGTTCTGACCCGCCAATGGGTATCATGTTACCTCTGGGTCTCCATCCTCTCATCTGTCAAATGAGGATGGTGAACTTATTCTTGGCTGCAAAGTTGAAAACTTAAGTGCCCCGTAAATACTGTATCACTTGGGTGGGGTGAGTCCTTAGTTAAGAGAGAAAAAAGGGGCTCCCCAATGGCACAGTGGGTTGAGTGCAGCGCTATGAAGCTGTCTGCAGCCTCTGCAGCAAGGGTTTGATTCCTGGCCGGCCAGGGAGATCCCCACATGCCACAGTCTGTGCTTATGTAAATAAATAAATCTTTAAAAAAAAAAAAAAAAGGAAGAGAGGAAAAAAAGAAAAAAGAGAAGGATTTCAAGTTCATCAACTTAAAAAAAAAAAGGTTGGGTTCATTAATTAAATGTGGAAATATTTATGAGATTAAAATATTTTTTAATTTTTTGGCCTCTTGGGTCTTTTTGTAAGGCAAGTTAGACTTTCTGCTTTTGTGTTCAGATACCATGGTTTCCTAGAGTCTGATGACAATAACATCTTTATTTAATCAGCTTTTTTTCCCCTTTAGTCATGAAAAAATCCAGTTCTCTGGAGAATAAGCACCTTCCAAGGCTCCCAGTTGTAAGTAGAGCCCGAATCCCACTTACTACTCTGCCACCTGCTGACAGGCCACATGACTCAGCTTGTTCCTATGTGATCGACTGTGACAGGCTAGAGACTTCTGGGTCCTCTGTGCTCAATGAATGGGAAAAGTCAGCACTTCTTTCCTTTAACTTTGGGCCCGCGAACCAAAGTGAAACTTCTTTCTCTAAAGAATTCAGGGATGTGACTCCGGGGGATGTTTTGCTTCTTGATAACGTACCTATTCAAAGCAAGTGGCTGAAATATCAAAACATAACACAGCGCACCTTGGCTGCTCCAGACAGAGCTAGCAGGAGAGGAACAGATGGCTTCTTTGCTGAGGCCGTTTCTGAGATGCATATTAGTGATACAGGGGAAAGGTGGCTTGATGCTGTGGGCGAGAGCACGTTAGATGCTGTGCATTTGGAAATGATGAAAAACATGCTGCAGCAGCAGCAGCAACAGGCTTTTAGCGGTCAAGATTCAATTTCCAGAAAGGAGCATTCTTTGAATTTAAAGCAGACTTCTGAGACTGAGGAAATTCAGAATATGTTAGGAGATTGTGCCTACTACAACTACAGTGTAACAGGAGATTTACAGGTGAGGAAATGTACTGTCTCTTGCTGCATTTTTCCCCAGTAGTTTCTGTCTGGATTTCAACAAAGGAGTCACCAAAGTGGCACAAGAGCAATCAATGATGGCACAGTGGGTTGACTTCTCTTGGATTCCACTGCTTTAAGTTTTCCAGGACTCAAGCTACAGTTACATCTACTTTGACTCAAGATCTTTCTTAGTAAAGTTGAGTAGTAAATGACATTATGTATTTGAAAGTAGCTGGTACAATTTCTGACACATAGTAGATACTTATAAGATTGTAGCTTCTGTTTCTCCGACCACTTCCACTATTCCTATTACCAAGATTGTTTTCGTTTTTCATTATCAGCTCAGTTTTGCTGGTCATTATTAGGGTAAAGGTACAACGCATTATACACTGGTTGTGAACAACTTTTATTATACTTGTGATGCAGAAATGGTGATACATAACTGTCCACTCACATTGTTAAGTTTTTCCTAGCAAAAAATATTCTACAACTTATTAAGGTGCAGGCAAGAAAAGTTTACATAATCCTATTTATGATTAAGAGTGTGGGACAAAGCCATTCCTGCTATGCTAAATTTCTCATTTAAAATTAGAAAATGATTTTCAAGGATCCTGGATATGAAAAGAAAATTTGATTATTTTCTTAAGCATATCTACAGAAAATAATTTCCCTATTAGTAAACACTATTTTTCCTGGAATAGTTATAACTTGAATTATTCTATTTCAGGAGATCAGTGACTCTGAACTGTGCTTCCCAAGTGGGCAGAAAATAAAATCTACTTATCTTCCCCGAAGGCAAATCTGCATACCAGCTGTTTTTGAGTCTCCTACACAATATAAGCAGATTTTTACATCTTGTCTCATAGGTATCACTGACTTTTTCATTTTATGATGACTGCTGCTTTATGTGAGTAGTGTAACTGAGAAAGTATAATACCTTATGTTGTGAATTTCATGATAAACTTTCTATATGATATCTGTTATTTTCCACATTTACTCTAATTTTGACAATAACTTATTCTAATTTCAGATCAAAATTGAGCTTTCAAAGAGGGAAATGACATCATTGTCTTCTTCTAGTTATAGTTTTGACTTTTAAAAATTAAAACTATAAAATGGGGGCCTCCCTGGTGGCGCAAGGGGTTAAGCACCACACTGTGAAGCAATCTGCAATCTCTGCAGCATGAGTTTGATCTCAGTCGGCCAGGGAGCAACCCACATGGCACAGCAGATCTCTCCTGACTTTCCCGCTGCTCCCCTCAGCAGTGTATTTCAGTCAGTCAGTCAGTCTGTTCTGCTCCCCACTTTGGTGAATCCTCTTCCCACCCACCCCCGTATCTCTGGCCTGTACCCCAGCTCTTGTATGCATAAATAAATAAATCTTAAAAAAAAACAAAAAACTAGAAAATGGTTTTTAAGTTAGGTCAGAAATTTTAAGTATAACGCATAATCAATTAGTTTTGATAGCGTGTTTTGTTGTACAAGGTCAAAAGTTGCCTTTATTAAGTGGATATTAGTATTAGGATACTAGTATATAGTTTATTGAAAGGATATTTTCAAATTTCACTGACAATACATGATAAAACTGCGAAATCATATTGTGTTTTTATCTGCATTATCCTTTTTTTTTTTTTTGGTAGAACATCTAAATATTTTGCTATTTGGGTTGGCACAAAGGTTGCATAAAGCTCTTTCAAAAGTTGACATATCATTTTACACATCGTCCAAAGGAGAGAAACCGAAAAATACAGAAAATAACGTGCCGTCCTGCCATCATCAGCAACCTGCGAAACTTGTCATGGTTAAAAAGGAAGGGCCAAATAAGGTATTGTTCCCACGCTTTCTCCATGCCCACCAAATACATGTCCTATAAAAGCTTAGGAACCTGTTGCTTAACAGTAAGTTTTTATTAGGAGTCTCCTACTTGAGGCAGTAATAACTAACATATAGTAAACCCTCAAATTTTTATTGAGATGATCAGTGTGCTAGGATAAGAAAATATGAGTAGTTGCTGAGCAACTACTGCTTAGCAGTGGATGGAGAGCGATACATGAAGGGGAACATTTATATAATGAACATTTATATAATGTTGTAAGTGATCAAGTAGGAGGAACACGACCATGCTACAGGGCGGGCACTGAGAAGGGATGGATGGAGTGCAGAGATGAGTCTTCTGTGTGGCCTTCGGTATGAGTAATAGATGTGGTCAGAGGAATAGAAAAGCATCCGATTGAACAGACTGTTACATGTTGTTATGGAGGAAGTGATCGTAAGAAAATGTGCATATTGATGGATGGTTTTTACTCATTTATAAGACTGCATTTTCATAATACAACTTTCTTCCAGTGTTTGCACTTTCTACCTCATCATTCGTTGAGAATGTAAATTTGAACTGAAATTTACTTGTTATGTTCCCCAAATTATACACTTAAATAATCATTGGAAAATCACTGAAATTTGAAAAAAATAGTTGTCAAAAGCAGGAATTCATGAATAATAACAGAGTCACCGAAAGTCTGCTTTTTCTTAAAATTATTTGATGACATAGTTATGCTCACTATATGTTGTTGGGTATAAAGGTTAGGTTATAAAGTAGAAAATATATCATTATGTGAATTGTATTAAAAATAAAACAGTAGGCATGTGTATCATCGTGTGTGTGTGTGTGTGTTATGTGAGTGAGAAAAGACTGGGAAGAAATGCATACGATGGTCCTTGTAGCAGTTTCTTGGCTGCTTTCAGATTGTCTGTAGTCACCATTTTAAATAAGAAAAACAGTGGGTTTTATAAGCTTATATTCTCAGAATAATGTGATGTTTGATTAAGAGGAAAAAATGCAAAAGATGGTTTTAAATTTAATTTGTTGCTTACATTATTAAAAATAAATGAATAATAATTATGTGTGGTAATGGATATTGTATAGTGACTAACTGCTGAAGTGCTTTAATGCCAAGCAAACTTTATAAAAGTCTTGACAAACAATACAAAAACAGTAAGAATAAAAACTTCATTTTTCTCACTAAACTTAATTCCTTTTTCCTCCTTAGGGTCGTCTCTTTTATGCCTGTGATGGGCCCAAAGCTGACCAATGTAAATTTTTCAAGTGGTTTGAAGCAGTGACTCCAGGATATTTAACTCAAGGAGAGTCTCTACCTATGAAGGTCCTAAGTGATATAAAGAGTATTGGCTTATATTTAAGAAGTCAAAAGCTACCCCTCTATGAGGAATGCCAGCTTTCAGTGAGGTATGTGGTAGGGTCCCAAATAACCACCTGTAATTGTATCAGAAACCGTAACCCTGACAGTATTACCAATTTTAAGAACCTGAGATAGGAAAAGTACCTAAAAGAGAATATCTCAGATTTTATAGCTATAAAATGGAACTAAGTCCCTAGAGGTATTTTTGGTCCCCTCTAACCATCAAGCAGGGTTAGCAGTATCAGAATAACTGGCAATAACACCATTTTTCTATTCATTTTAATATATAGTCACAATCCTAAGGGAAACCCTATTAAACCACAAGAGTAATTTTTATTAGTATTCTATAGAATGTTGCTTTTGAGAAATGTGTCTTATAAAAGTGGGCTCTCCCAGAAAGTAAATATAATGACAGTCTGTATAGTAATTTATTAATGACAACATTTATTGGGAACTTATCAATGCCAGGCACTTTTGTAAGCACATTACATGGATAATTTCAGTTAAACATAAGACTATCCTATAACATATAGGAATAATGGAGATGCTTATTTCCATTTGGAGATACTGAGGTTCTCTATCTTTTGGATACTTTTCCTATCAGTCTTTTTTAAAACTAGTGATTCTGTAAGGATTGCTATTTTTTTCCTTGGACATTATATTATTTACATTTTGTACACATGTAGCAAACTATATAAACATACACACCCCCCCCCAGTTCTTTCCTTCTCACACTGTGCTTCAATGATTTTTTTTTAAAAGGTAGTAACGTTGCATTGTATATTTGAAAGTTGCTAAAAGAGTAGACTTAAAATTGTCATCCCCAAGAAATGTGGTACTGGATGTTACAAGACATAAGTGATCATTTCACAAAATATACATAAATTGGATGACGTGAGCTAGCTCAGTTAAAAAAATTTGCACCTTATATCAAATTTATTTTGTTCTTTAATCATTTTGCAGAAAAGGATTTGGTTTTCAAAGGAAACAATATGGAAAACTAAAGAAGTTTACTACTATAAATCCTGAATTTTATAATGAACCTAAAAGCAAACTTTACCTTAAGCTGAGTCGGAAGGAAAGTTCTTCAACTTACAGCAAAAGTAAGTTGATCTGATATGTTGGTGACTGAGTGTAGCCTGTCAATTCAGTTCTGCAAATTTTTTATATTAGATTTCCTAAAGTACAGTTGAATAGATTATATTGTGAGTTATATCTTATTTTATTTATTTTTTAAATATTTATGCATACAAGAACTGGGATACAGACCAGAGGTGTGGGGGGTGAGAGGATTTACCAGAGACATAGGGGGGAACAGAACAGGCAGACTGACTGAAATCCACTGCTGAGGGGAGCAGCGGGCGAAACAGGAGAGGTCTGCTGTGCCATGTGGGTCAGCTCCCTTGCTGGGATCGAACTCATGCTGCAGTGGCTGGCGATAGCATGATAGTGCTGAGACTCAACCCCCTGTGCCACTAGGGAGGCCCACATTATGTATTTTCTTACAATTCTAAAACTAACTTTAAAAGCAAGACTCATCAAGTTAAAAACATGAAAATGAAATGTGTGCGGGTCTTAATCTGGAAATTAATAGATGATAAAAACCTCTTTTATGTTTTGAGAATAGTGGCAGACTAAGCATCAAAGAAATCCACTTAGCTGTGCATTGAGCATAACTCTGAGTCATTTTAAAAAAATGCTTGCCATTTCAGATGACCTTTGGGTGATTTCCAAAACGCTAGACTTTGAACTGGATACTTTTATTGCATGTAGTGCTTTCTTTGGACCCTCAGCTGTCAATGAGGTGGAGCTACTACCTTTGAAAGGTTATTTCCCTTCCAACTGGCCCACTAACAGTAAGTATTAACATATCCGTCTTAATCAGTATAAAACAATGATAGGCCTGAGATGGATTTTGAGCAACAAGGCTAACTTTGGGGTTGTTAAAGCCAACAAAAAACACCCCCCTGTACGTCCTACTATTTCGTAGACAATGTGTTCTTGAAAATGTGTATGGAAGTTGACTCTATTTCTGCAGTCCAAGTCTCAGAGGGCTCATAATAAGATCTTGAGCCTCACTTAAATATTGTCAGAATTGAAATTTACAATACATACCTGATTTCTAAAATGATAAACGCTAAACATAAATAAGAATGTTCTCAAATCATTTCTTACATCAAGTTCTAATTCTCTTGGCTAGTAATAAGGTATGTTTAATAAACAGATTTTTGTTTATTTATTGTTACACTGAGAAGGTTTTAGAGGTTTTGCAAGAGATTATCCAGGAATTTAGCAGGAGGATATGATTTTTATCTTGAGAATATTTTATCATTTGTCTTGAGAAATCCTTGAGAGTATATGCACATTGCCTCATTTTCCTTTTAATGAAGGAAGCTTTAGGGCCTCCCCGGTGGCGCAGCGGTTGAGTGCTGGGTTGCGAAGCTGCCCGCAGCCTCTGCAGCGCCAGTTCGATCCCCGGCTGCTCCCCAGCCACCGGAGGAGGGTCCCATATGGTGCGCAGACCTCTCCTGCCGCCCGCTGCTCCCCTCAGCAGTATACTTCGGTCCTTCTGCCTGCTTAGCTCCCTGCTCTGGCTCTGGTGAATTCTCTCACCCTCCCGTGCTTCTGACTGTACCCAGTGCTTGTATAAATAAATAAATAAATTTTTTTTAAAAAAAGGAAGCTTTAGCTAGCTGAATTCCATCCAGTGCTGTGAATCCGTAGACTTCTGTACACATTTTGATCTCTGGAATAATTTGTCTTGCTTGAATTTGGCTCCTAACTAAAAGACAGAGTTTAATGATACATTTCAATGGTTTCATACACATACACATTTTTAACTTCTGATTTTGTTCTTTCCAAACCAAATCTAGTATACCAGCTTGATTCTAATTATCTAATTAGTGAACTTTTCACTGTATGCATGCTTTCATATTTGTAGTTATTTCTTCACCAATATCAGCATTCTAATTTTCTGCTTTTTGTATAATGTATAAAATAATTAAAGAAATGTAGGAAAAATGTTCAAAAATGACACATATTATAGTTTAGCACAAAGCGGTGTGCTGTTATCATGGCGCTGCTATCCAGTAGTGCCACTAGGCCCTCACTCAGATGTTTTTGGTCATCTCCTGGTGATGGAAGTCCAGATCTGACTTGAGTTACACATTTTATGAGTATCCACATATAAAGTGTGAATGAGTAGCTTACAGAGTAAAGGAGCTCTGCATATACTAACAGTTTATGTCTTATAATTGAGTCAGTAGTGAACTATTGAATTATCTGGATATTTAACAGTATTTCATGATCTATCATATTGGTATTAAATGTTCTATTTCTCTGTCCTTTCTACAGCTGTGGTGCATGCGTTACTAGTCTGTAATGCCAGCACAGAGCTGACCACTTTGAAAAACATTCAGGACCACTTTAATCCAGCTACGCTGCCTCTAATGCAGTATCTGTTAACAATGTAAGTAGCTTTTGATCTCTGGGTCACTGGTGTTCAAAAACAGTGATCAAATGTGAGTATGAAAATGCAATAAAAGTATATTATAATTTTTTAAATATCTTTCAGACTATGAGATTACTATTTGTTAGTAGTTAAAAGAAAAAAAAGAAAAGGTAATATGTATCACTTCCATTCATCCAGCCACTGATTCTTCCCTCTGTTTATTGTGATAGGAGCTTATAAATACTGCAATTTTTTTCCCTTTGTCAAGGAATAATTTCTTTTTTTTTGTTTTAAAAGATGTATTTATTTATTTATACAAGCACTGGGTACAGTCAGAAGCGCGGGAGGGTAAGAGAATTCACCAGAGCCAGAGCGGGGAGCAGAACAGGCAGACTGACGAAATACACTGCTGAGGGGAGCAGCGGGCGAGACAGGAGAGGTCTGCCACGCCATGTGGGATTCTCGCCAGTGGCTGGGGATCAAACCGGCGGTGCACAGGCTGCAGGCAGCCATGCAGCCCAGCGCTCAACCGCTCACTGTGCCACCAGGGGAGGCCCAAGGAATAATATCTTGAGGATATTTTAAATGTTGTTTTCCCCCTTCATCTTTATTTTTATGTACATATTATTCAATATTTAAAAGAATCATTTAACAAGTTTGACTCCATTTTGTACATTGGTACTGATTTTATTTTCGATAGTATCTATATCCCATTCCCAAGTGACATATTCCCTTTTTTAAAAATCTGAAGTGATATATTAAATGCATTAAAATGATAGAAAAACTCTAGTTACTAATTTGGAATGTTATGATCAATCTTGGACTAGTGTTTCATTTTTCTCACCACAATGAAGTCCTTGATAAAAATATCCTTATGATTTCATTATATTATTTACCACTTTGAAAAGAATAAAAGCAATTTATTTGTTGCACTATACCAGAAATAGAGGCCATATTAATGATCTCAGTCAGCATTATGAGTTAGAACATGGGCTTTAAAGTTAGTATATACCATTTATTAACTGTGCTGTATGGGGAGATATAATATTTCTGTATCCGTTTGGGATAATTCACTACTTACTGCTGTTGTGAAGATGACATTAAAATATATGTAAAATAATATTCCATTGTGTATATGTACCACATCTTCTTGATCCAGTCATCTATTTTTGGGCATTTGGGCTGTTTCCAAAGCTTAGCTATTGTAAATAGTGCTGCTATAAACATAGGGGTGCAGGTGCCCTTTGGAATTACTGTTTCTGTGTCCTTTGGCTAAATACCTAGGAGTGGAATTGCTGGATCATATGGAAGCTCTATGTTTAGTAGGTCCAGAAATCTCCACACAGCTCTCCATAGTGGTTGGACCAGTTTGCACTCCCACCAGCAGTGCAGGAGAGTTCCTTTTTCTCCACATCCTCGCCAACATTTGTTGTTGCTAGTTTTTTTAATATGTGCCATTCTCACTGGTGTAAGATGGTATCTCATGGTAGTTTTGATTTGCATTTCCCTGATTACAAGTGATGTTGAACAATTTTTCATATGCCTGTTGGCCATTTGCATTTCTTCTTCAGAGAAATTTCTTTTTAGCTCTTCTGCCCATTTTTTGACTGGATTATTTTCTTTGTTTTTGTTGAGTCTCATCAGCTCTTTGTAGATATACACAATGGAGTATTACTCAGCAATCAAAAAAGATAAACACATGCAATTTGCAGCAACATGGATGGAGCTAGAAGGGATCATGCTCAGTGAAATAAGTCAGAAAGAAAAAGAAAATTACCGGATGGTCTCACTCATAGCAGGAATTTAGAAAACCTAAATAAGAGACAAGGAAAAAGACTAATCAATACAAAGTAAAAATCAAAATCAACAAGCAACTATAAACCAGAGACACACTATGGGGTGGGGGGAGAGCAGGGAAAGGGAGGACTAGAGTCAAAATAAAGGGGGGGGGGTTGCAATTGTATGGGGAATATAACCAAAATGAAAATGCATACATTGTGCAAGGATGAAAAAAGATGTAAGAATTATATAAAATAAAATATTTAAGTAAAAAATATTAACTTAAAAAAATATATGTAAAATGATTGCTAACGTAGTACCAGCACATGTTAATTCTCTTTTCTACCCTCCAGACTGGCATATATATCCATTTGTGCCCGTAAAGAAAAATATTTTCTATGCTTATAAAGAGAAGGCTACGTTATGAATAAATCGACTCATCTTTTTCAAAATGATCTGATTTGCTACCCTCTTACTAGGTCTTCATCAGCAACAGGTAGCAACAAGAGAGTCAACAAAAGAAAATTCATCCCACCATCCTGCTCTTATAGCAACATGAAATGTGAACTCCTCAGCTGGGAAGCAACACTGCAGTTAGCGAGTGAGTTCATTCAGGCCCACAAGTTAAACACGGATCAAGCCGCAGCCCTAATGCAGATAGCACAAATGATGGCATCACACACAAGTGCCGGAGGAGGGGCGGCGCCGCAAACTCCCAGCCTCCCCATCACCATCATTCATGGTAAGCAGCAAGCAGGAAAACTGCCGGGAATAAATACACTGTTACACCAGCTTCTGTAACTCCGCCAGCTTGATGATTCCCTAGTCGAACAAGGTTCCAAGGTAACCCCCTGTGCCACTAGGGAGGCCCAAGTCTGGATTTCTTATTCTGTAGACTTACTTCTGCAGCTTCTTATTTCTAGGAAGAAGTCCCTTTTCCACCAAAACCGAGAGACTTCTCTCTGATCCCACACAAACATATTGTTATTGCGTCACTGTCTTTCCAATTTGACTATGAGCTCATTAAATGTGGAGACCTTTCAGTTTATCTATTTATCATTGTACTAAGCATTTAGCAGGTACTTGGTGTTTTTTGAATAAATGCATTAAATGAAAGCCATCAGGGAGATAGATGGATAAATTGTGTGTGTGTGTGTGTGTGTGTGTGTGTGTGATTTAATTTGTTGATGTCACCTTTATTTTGTCTTTTAACATAATTAGGTGTTTTTGGAGCGGGAAAGAGTTACTTGCTGGCAGTGGTGATTTTGTTCTTTGTGCAGCTATTTGAAAAGAGTGAAGCCCCTACAGCTGGAAATGCAAGACCATGGAAACTTCTGATTTCTTCCTCCACTAATGTAGCTGTTGACAGAGTGCTTCTTGGGTAGGTGTGACAAGTATATTTAAGTAGCTTATGTTTTAGGTCATCATTGAAGCGCACTCCACTGTGTCTACATGTATTCCTGCAGGGTGTACCACAGACACAAGACCTTTGTTTCTTGCTCAAGGGCCAGCATCCATGAAACAATACCGGAATAACTTATTCATTTGTAAGAAGGATAATATGAATTACCAAACTTGAGTTAAGTACAAGGAAGGGATACTCGTGGAAACATTTGAGTTAGCCAAGAACATGTATGGCTGAGAAGTGTGTTGGTGGGGGAGGTTGCCAGGAAGTCGAAGCCTGATCACTTTCTCCCAGGAAATTTCTCTTGGTTGTGTGGGCCGGAAGCAACCTTGGTGATGAGGTAATAAATGTTTCCTTTGGGATGAAAAGCAAGCTTGCTTAGGGCGTGTTATAAAAGCAGTGGCTCCCCATGCTCACCATTCCCTTCCTCCAGCTCACCCATGCAGTGCAGGCCTGGGCCTTCTGCATCTCCCCATGTGCTAGGGGACCAAAGGAAACCAACAGAGGTGTTGATGCCATGCCTTTGAGACATGTCAGAGTCCTGTCCAAGGCCCAGGGGCCTTGGGTGTATTACTTTGAAGTTGGCTGAAATTGCATAACTGAGTTCTAGGTCAATCTCTTGTCTACCTGTTTATATAGACATATAATAGTAAAACTGCTAACCAGTTTAATTTAAATATTTTTGGCAGTAATAAGACAGATCCACACTAGGCAATAGCAATTTTATACCTGTTATGCAGGTATAAAATTTTTGTAATTGTGTGAGATTGTATTAAAAATATATTAAAAAAAAGGGGCGCCTCCCTGGTGGCACAAGGGGTTAAGCACCGCACGGTGAAGCAGTCCGCCACTTCTGCAGCACAAGTTCGATCCCGGCTGGCCAGGGAGCAACCCACATGGCTCAGCAGACCTCCCGTCTCGCCTGCTGCTCCTCTCATCAGTGTCTTCGGTCAGTCTGCCTGTTTTGCTCCCTGCTCTGTCTGGTGAATCCTCTCACCCTCCCGCGCTTCTGGCCTGTACCCCAGCTCGTGTATAAATAAATAAATCTTTAAAAAAAAATACCAAAAAATTTATGTAATAGTTTACCAATATTCCAGTGTTTAATGATATGAATGTCAACACAAGTGACAAAGTTTGATTAGGAGGAAAAAGTCCATTTCTTAGTAAGTGCTGGTGCTTATGGTGAAATATATGAAGATTATAAAGGTAACATCTTATTGTTTCTTTACAGTTTTTTTTATGCATACACAGATACTTGTTTTCCAAATGTGGTATTCAGCAGTACTTATGGTTTTGTGTCCAACTTTTTTTACTTAAAGTTGATTATGATAATAAATATTAGAAAATGTAATTTTTCATAGCATTGTATAGTCATTGATTTGTTTATAGTGTACTTTAAGCAATTTTTGATAAGTAGCTTTTTCTAAAATGTTGCCATTATAAATTATATTGTGACAAAGATTGTTAAACATCTTTGCCTCCCATTTCCAATTTTTTCCTTAGAAAAAATTCCTAGGTCTAAAATTAAAGCTAGGGCCTCCCCGGTGGCGCAGCGGTTGAGCACTGGGTTGCGAAGTTGCCCGCAGCCTCTGCAGTGCCAGTTCGATCCCCGGCTGCTCCCCGGCCACTGGAGGAGGGTCCCACATGGTGCGCAGACCTCTCCTGCCGCCCGCTGCTCCCCTCAGCAGTGTACTTCGGTCCTTCTGCCTGCTCTGCTCCCCGCTCTGGCTCTGGTGAATTCTCTCACCCTCTCTGCGTTTCTGACTGTACTTAGTGCTTGTATAAATCAATCAATCAATCCAATCTTTAAAAAATAAAAAAATAATAAATAAATAAAATTAAAGCTATGAACATTTTTAAGTTTCTTAATATACTTTGCAAAATTGCCCTTACAAAGTTTCTGCCAGCTGTACTCTTCTAAATAGCCTAAAACACTGACTAGGACATTTTTGTTTTCATTTTTCTTACATTTTAAAAGGAATGGTTTGTTAGGAAAGAGAGGTAGAAAAAGAGAAGGACCTGCATGGTCACAAGAGGGCAGGATGGCTGCCTTGAGGACATTTTTAATGCAAGAGAGTGAGGAGTTGCCTGGATCCTAAACTAGAAAGCACTTTAGGTTGCTTAGCCTGAGATGACAATTTAACTGTAGATTATTAGAAAAGAAAAAAACCCAAGAAGTTAGAATAAAGAGGAAAGCACCAAATAAGGAAAGGTAACAGAAAACATCAGAGGAGACTGTTTCCTGTGTAGGCGTGAAATAAAGGCCTGAGGAATGGGTTTCCATAGTTGGCTCTATGCCTCAGCTGCATGTAGGTTGGGACCACACATTATGCCAGGAGGTGAAATAATAGTTAGCTCTGCCCTTGGACAGTGTGTTTGAGAAGAAATGCAACATTTTTACCCTATGGTGGTGGAGGACACTACATCATCTACTGTAGAAGTCACACAAACTTTGCATTGAAAAAGTGTATACTCGTAATTCAGACTAAAGAGTAGCTGAATGTTTTCCAAGATGAAAACTATACAAAATGGAAAAATTGAAATCTATTCCTGTATTGACATTTAATAAATTGCTGCAAAGATATTTAGGAAAACTATAGAGCTGTAGTTTGTTTAAACCCCAGGGTGAAGTGAGGATGAGTTGCTCACTGAGTTCCTGCTCTGTTTCTGGCTTAGCACTCGAGCTGTTAAGATTCAAAGAGGGATTGATCTTATAGGCGAGGGCTTCTTCATCAACCCCTCACTGGGGAGGGACAGTGGATGGAGAAGACTGTCATAGACTCTGCAGACAAACCAACTTGCAACTCGTTATTTGCTATGAGATCTCAGCAGTATCTCACTTCTGAGTTTCAGTGTTCTTATCACTACGAGGAGAAGCTGTGCAGAACTACTGAGTATTAAATGAGAAAGTATATAAAGAGGTTAACACTCTTCCTTATACATCTCTATGTTGCATATAGGGTAATTCTTGCTTTCTGTTATTGTGTCTTTAGGGAATATTTTACTTGTGATAATTTTTTTTAATGATTTTATTTATTTATTTATACAAGCACTGGGCACAGTAAGAAGCGTGGGATGGTGAGAGAATTCACCAGAACCAGAGTGGGGAGCAGAACAGGCAGACGATGAAATACACTGCTGAGGGGAGCAGCGGGCGCAGCAGAGGCTGCAGGCAGCTTCGCAGCCCAGCGCTCAACCGCTGCGCCACCAGGGGAGGCCCACTTGTGATAAATATTAACATTGGTATTTTATGAACATTTAAAGAGCCTTTCACATAAGATATTACATATTTTTAAATTCTCTATAAAATGCATTAAATGAAAAAAAAATAGGTATATTGAGTTTACTTTGATTTTAGGCATTTTACATTGAATTACAAAACTACAAGTAAATCTGTTATGCAAAATTAATTTTAATTACATACATATTACATGAATTTTTTTAATATTCTTTCTAAATCAGAATCTATTTTCTAAATCTGAGTTTACCTTGTTTTTCTCAAAGGCTTCTCAGTCTTGGATTTGAAAAGTTTGTCCGAGTTGGGAGTATTAGGAAGATTGCCAAGCCAATTTTACCTTATAGGTAAGAACACTAAATTTCAGAAGCGCAGAATGTTCACAGAATTATAATAATTTTATGTAACGCTTACCTAAAAGTTGGAATTTCAGGTAAAATTTTAAGGAATAGTAGAGAAAGCCTTTTCTTTTTCTCACTTAACTTACAAAATTTTTATTTTAGTCTGTTGTGATGTTTTGAAAGATGGAGTAAAGATGTGTGTTCCTTTATGGAATTATTTTTTTAGCTTGCATGCTGGCTCAGAAAATGAGAATGAACAATTAAAAGAACTACATGCACTAATGAAAGAAGACCTAACTCCTGTGGAGAGAGTCTATGTGAGGAAAAGCATCGAGCAGCACAAACTGGGCACCAACAGGGCACTGCTGAAGCAGGTGAGGGGGCAGCGCCAGGCGGGTTCATTTATGTACCATTCAGATTCCTGTTATTTTTTTTTTAATACTTATTTATTTGGATAGGAGAACTGAGGTATAGGCCAGAGGTGCAGGGGTGAGAGGACTCACCAGAGACAGTGGGGAGCAGAACAGGCTGATCTACTAAAATACATTGCTGAGGGGAGCAGCGGGTGAGACAGGAGAGGTCTGCTGCACCCTCTGGGTCACCTCCTTGGCTGGGGATAGAACTCAGGCCATAGGGGTGATAGCACTGAGACTTAACCCCTAGGCCACCAGGGAGGCCCCAGAACCCTGTTAGTCCTGGCCATGAAGAAAAGTTCCTTTAGGTAAATGACCCTGAGAGCTTAGATTCCACTAAGGTGTGCAGACAAGTTGATTGATAAATACATTCTCTTACTTTCTTAATAGTTGTTCATTAATGGGCCTCCCCTGGTGGTGCAGGCAGTTAAGCACAGCACTGTGAAGCTGTCCGCAGCCTCTCCAGTGTGGGTTTGATCCCAGCTGGCCAGCGAGATACCCACATAGCACAGCAGACCTCTCCTGTCTTGCCTGCTGCTCCCCTCAGCAGTGTATTTCAGTCAGTCTGCCTGCTCTGCTCCCCACTCTGTCTCTGGTGAGTCCTCTCACCCTCCTGCACATCTGGCCTATACCCTAGTCCTTGTATGCATGAATAAATTAGTCTTTAAAAAAATAGTTGTTCATTAATAATGTTGTAATAAAGGTCCGAGTAGTTGGGGTGACCTGCGCAGCCTGCCCCTTTCCGTGCATGAATGAGCTCACATTTCCGGTCGTTGTGCTCGATGAGTGCAGTCAGATGACTGAACCCGCCTCTCTCCTTCCCATTGCCAGGTAACCTGCAGACTCTTCTTTCAAACATTTCCTCACATCTGTGAAAGTTTCTAAATCTGAGAGTTTACACATTCTGAAAGCCATTGTTTCCCAAAGTGTGTTCTGTGAAATCCTAGTTCCATGCAGACACTTGGCAGGTTTTATGTGGAGAAAGGATTCTTTACTAGGACTTGGGTGCTTGGGTGGGGTGGTAACATGCATCTGATAAAGGGTGAACCTAGAGCCCTAAATCATACACAGTGTTGTAAACCAATGTTACCTAAATAGAAGGGGGGGAAATATATTTATTTACTGTGTAACTTTTCAAAGCCTTTGAATATAGTCATTAGCATTGTTAAGTCTTGTTAGTTTTCAGAATGCTTCTTGGTATTTTGATTTTTGAAATGCATTTTGGAATACAGTGCAGTAACTGGTGTCAATGCATGCTTTTTTCTGTGCTTATACTAATTTCTGAAGTTCTGTTTTTAGATTTGAATGTGAAAAGCTGATTCTTGTTGGAGATCCTAAGCAGCTCCCTCCTACTATTCAAGGTTCTGATGCGGCTCATGAAAATGGACTGGAACAGACTCTTTTTGATCGACTTTGCCTAATGGTAGTGCTGCTAAATTTATACAGATTCATCACTTACTGGTTATACATGTTGTAGTTGATAGAAAGTGAAAATATTAGGGCCTCCCTGGTGGCGCAAGGGGGTAAGATGCAACCTGTGAAGCTGTCTGCAGCCTCTGCAGCACGAGTTCGATCCCCCAGCCAGCCAGGGAGATACCCACATGGTGCAGCAGACCTCTCCTGTCTTGCCTGCTGCTCCCCTCAGCAGTGTGTTTCAGTCAATCTGCCTGTTCTGTTCCCCACTCTGTCTGTGGTAAATCCTCTCACCCCCCGCATCTCTGGCCTATACCCCAGCTCTTGTATGCATGCATAAATCAATCTTTTAAAAAAAAAAAGGAAAGAAAGTGAAAATATTAGAAGGCCAAGTAGTTGCCTTAAAATAATTTTCATTGGAAAAAATGTTCAACATCACTTGTCATCAGGGAAATGCAAATCAAAACTACCATGAGATACCATCTTACACCAGTGAGAATGGCACATATTAAAAAACTAGCAACAACAAATGTTGGCGAGGTTGTGGAGAAAAAGGAACTCTTCTGCACTGTTGGTGGGAATGCAAACTGGTCCAACCACTATGGAGAGCTGTGTGGAGATTTCTGGACCTACTAAACATAGAGCTTCCATATGATCCAGCAATTCCACTCCTAGGTATTTACCCAAAGGACACAGAAACATCCATTCCAAAGAACACCTGCACCCCTATGTTTATAGCAGCACTGTTTACAATAGCTAAGCTTTGGAAACAGCCCAAATGCCCAAAAATAGATGACTGGATCAAGAAGATGTGGTACATATATACCATGGAATATTACTCAGCATTCAAAAAAGATAAACACATGCAATTTGCAGCAACATGGATGGCGCTGGAAGGGATCATGCTCAGTGAAATAAGCCAAAAAGAAAAAGAAAAATACCGGATGGTCTCACTCATAGCAGGAATCTAGAAAACTTAAATAAGGGACCAGGAAAATGAATACAAGAAAGTGAAAATCAAAATCAACAAAAAACTATGAACCAGAGACACTTTTTGGTGGGTGGGGGGCGGGAAGGGAAGGATTGGGGTCAGAATGGGGCTTTTGCAATTGTATGGGGGAATATAAAAATAAAATTTATTATTTAATTGAAAAAAAAAAAAAACCAAAAAAAAAAAAATAATTTTCATTGGAGTTGCTTTAGAAAGCGCTCAGCTTAGGTATAAGTATATCCTGTAACTTAAGTGTCCCCTTTAAAAAAATAATCTTTTCCAGATAGGTTTTAGTCATGGGTAGTAAGTATATTGCTTTTGTTCTAAAATTAAAAACCTATAAAGTGTGTATTCGTGTCCCCCAAACCAGCTCTACTTTGCATTAACATTTTAAAAAAATAATTGATAAACTTTGTTGGGGAACTTCACATAACATAAAACAAATCACTGTAAAGTGAACGGCTCAATGGCAGTATAGTAATAGTGTACCGTGAAAATATTTTTAGTAATTTTTTTAAAGAATCATTTTGATCGTCTATGTAGTCATGTTATAATTTGTTTCCTAGGGTTTACTGTAGCAATATTTAAAAATTTCTAAATATTATCTTCTTCCCCTATGGAAAAAAATGCTGTTCTAATCTCTTAGTTTTCTGCATTAACATTTCTTAGGGTCACAAGCCAGTACTACTGAGAACCCAATACCGGTGTCACCCTACAATTAGTGCTATTGCTAACGATCTGTTTTATGAAGGACACCTCATCAACGGCATCTCGGAGGCAGAGAGGAGCCCTTTGTTGGAGTGGCTGCCAAGCCTGTGCTTCTATAACGTCAAAGGACTGGAGCAGGTAAATGACACTCATGTTGATGAGTGTTAACATGCCTTAGATTCCTGGTTTAATTTTCATTGTTGCTGTCTGTATGATTTTCTTGCTCTTTCCGTAACCTTTCTGGGAAATATAATTTAGGCTCTGTTTCTCATTCCAGATTGAAAGAGATAACAGCTTTCATAATGTGGCAGAAGCTGCTTTTACACTCAAGCTGATTCAATCACTGATTGCAAGCGGAATAGCGGGCTCTATGATTGGGGTGATAACATTATACAAGTCCCAGATGCACCGGGTGTGTATGACACACGATGATATTCATCGTATATCATCACATTATAATGTTATAGCATCTGATATTACCTCTGCAGTTGCCTCCTTGTGCTTGGTTGGTGCCTGAAAAACTTTGGGGACTATAGTTAACGTATTAAAAAAGAAATGTTCTGATTTTTGTCTGGTCTGGCTTTTTTTCTGTATAATTAAATGTAAACCTAACAAGCTTTAATTAAATTCCGTTTACAGCTGTTGGGGCAAAAATGCAAATAAACAAATTAGAGGGAAGAAAATATGGTGCATGCTTTGTGTTTTGGGACAGATGGGATTGCATCTCTGTTTTCCAAAATGTTATTTCATTATTATTACATTTTACCAGGAAATCAAAGATAGATACCAGATACTAATGCACACGTAAACCAATTACTTTTAACTAGTCATTGCTTTTACTTTTTTAGTATTTTTTCTCTGTTTTATTAGTAGCTTATTGTCAACTCTACATTAACATATCCAAATGAGTTCCCTAGCAATTTGGTAAATCATTACTTCTGATTTGGCTTCATAATTAATGTCATGATCTACCTATTTATCACTTTTAAAAACTAGCTAACTAAACTAACTAACGCTGTGTTGAGTCATAAAACAGAGCATGAAAACTAACGTTAAATGCTGAACTGTGATTAAAGTTCAAATGGCCTCGGTGAGTGGGCCCAGCGCTTGTGTTCTTCACGGTCACTGCACTGCCTAAGCCCTGTCCTCCTTCCTCCACAGCTTTGTCACTTACTCAGTGCTGGGGACTTTGACCATCCTGATATTAAAGCTGTGCAGGTGTCCACAGTGGACGCTTTTCAGGGAGCTGAAAAGGAGGTGATTATTCTGTCCTGTGTAAGGACTCAGCAAGTCGGATTCATTGATTCAGAAAAAAGAATGAATGTTGCCTTGACCAGAGGAAGGAGGCATTTGCTGATTGTGGGGAAATTAGCCTGTCTGAGGAAAAATCGACTATGGGGGCGCGTGATCCAACACTGTGAAGGTAAATAAAAATGTTTTTAATTCAAGTATACTGGATTTTTTGTTAGTGCGTGGGAAGATTCTGGTAGGAAACAGTTCTGAATTTGCCACTGTGGGAAGTGACTGAAATGATATTTTGGGGCCACTACAAAATATACTGTATGGGCCCTCCTTGGTGGTGCAGGGGTTAAGTCTCGGCACTGTCAAGCTGTCGGCAGCCAGTACAGCACAAGTTTGATCCCAGGCCAGGTTGCTGACCCACATGGCAAGGCAGACCTCTCCTGTCTCGCCCACTGCTCCCCTCAGCAGTATATTTCAGCAGATCTACCTGTTCTGCTCCCCACTCTGTCTCTGGTGAATCCTCTCACCTTCCCCCACCCCCGGCCCCCGCACCTCTGTCCTACACTCCAGTTCTCGTATGCATAAATAAATAAAATAAATCTTTAAAAATAAATACAATATAATGTTTCTTGTTTTACATCTTTTTAAGGAAAGAAAGATGGATTACAACATGCAGACCAGTTTGAGCCACAGCTGAACCATCTCCTTAAAGATTATTTTGACAAACAAGCAGAAGAAAAGCAGAAGAAAAGGAGTGAAAAAGATAAATCTAAGGACAAATCTCATTCACAAAAAGACATGGTGTAGATATTATATATTTATATTTAAGTGCAAACTCACTTAATACTGTATTTTTTATTATCCCAAAGCCCTTGTTATAGAAAAAATACTTTACGATCTTTAATATTAAATAAACATATAAAATTTTTCAAGGAGTTTATACTGCTTCCATTAGGATAGGCAGATGTTGCCATTAATATTAAATCGTACTAGTAAAAATAAATTATTTCCTAAAATTACTGTTCGTTGGCCCTACTAAAACCCCTGGTTAGACTCCAGCCCCACCCCCAGCCCCCTACAACGGCACCGAAGGCTTGATGAGAAGGCCAAGATACAGAACAAAAAGAAGAGAAATCCCACGAGTAGTAACAGCCACGCCCAAATTGAGATTAAGTAATAAACTCATGTGCACACACCTTCAGGCTATAATACGGTCAAGGAGTAATCTGATTTGCTGGGCACTAAAATACATAGCGGTGTGCTGTATTATCACAGGGTTTTCCCCAGAAGTTTCCAAGGTGGTCTGCAAGTCACGGCAGGGAGTTGGATCAAGGGCTGCTGGGGTTCCTCGCCAGAGTTGTGGGACTGATTTTCCCAGGTCTGACTGTTCAGGATTAGCCCCTCCGGGTCTGGTTGCCTCAGGGAGAATTCCTCTAGGTCTGTCCCCTACTAGAGGACGTTAGGGGTGTTCCACAGGCGCCCCTAGTGGCTGCGGCAGAGGCTGGGGTTGAGAGCTAAGTCATGTTCTTGCTTTCTTCGGCCAGCTGTTCTGACACTTTTTTTTTTTAAAGATTTATTTATTTATTTATACAAGCACTGGGTACAGTCAGAAACGCGGGAGGGTGAGAGAATTCACCAGAGCCAGAGCAGGGAGCAGAGCAGGTAGAAGGACCGAAGCACACTGCTGAGGGGAGCAGCGGGCGGCAGGAGAGGTCTGCGCGCCATGTGGGACCCTCCTCTGGTGGCCGGGGAGCAGCCGGGGATCAAACTGGCGCCGCAGAGGCTGCTGGCAGCTTCGCAACCCAGCGCTCAATCACTGCGCCATCGGGGAGGCCCTGTTCTGACACTTCTTAAATGTAATCCTTTGATTCTGGAACCAGCTCTTGTTTGTAACAGGATGTTGGAAAGGTGTTGCATCTGCTGGGGACCAAGGCATTTCTGCCTCTGCAGTCTCTCACTGAGTACACAGCTGGACTGAGAGAATGTGGTTCTGCTCTTTTGTTTCTTTTCCAGGCCCTTATCTCCCTTCTTCCCTGTGCCATTCTCTCTAGAAGGGGGAACAGTTTGGCTTTGGTACTGGTGGAAGAATCAGGCTGTCCTGAAGAAGCAGCTCCCTGGAGGAAGGAAGAGGAGCAGCCAGCTCCACAGGGAACCTCTCAGCAGAGAACGTGAGCAAGGAAGCATGGTTTTCTTTTTCTTTTTAATAGAAGAACTGGGGTACAGGCCAGAGGTGTGGGGGTGAGAGGATTAACCAGAGACAGAGTGGGGAAAAGGACAGGCAGACTGACTGAAATACACTGCTACAGGGAGCAGCGGGCAAGACGGGAGAGGTCTGCAGTGCCATGTGGGTAGCTCCCTGGCTGGGGATCGAACTCAGGCTATAGCAGTAACGGTGCTGAGAAAACCACTAGGCCACCAGGGAGGCCCCCAGGCATGCTTTTCTTCAGAGTATAAATCTCAGGCATTGATGAAGAGTGCCTGGAAGTGTATGCCTTGGGGCAAGGCAGGCTTTGGAGACAAACTGGATCCAAGCTAATGCTGAGTTGAGGCAGAGGGAAAAAAACAAAGAGTGGGACTGTTTGAAAGTCTCAGGCTTAGGCATCTGGGTGTAAGCATTTAAGAGAACTATCAGGGCCAAGCACTGTGTGCTGCTTTATGAAAAGGCGAAAGAGAAACCAGAAATCCTCTCTCACCCACTCAGAGTTAATTCTTGATAACTTTCCTCGGTTAATTTATGTAATAATTCATTAACAATATATTTGCTTAGGGCCTCCCTGGTGGCGCAGCGGTTGAGCACTGGGTTGCAAGGCTGCCCGCGGCCTCTGCAGTGCCAGTTCGATCCCCGGCTGCTCCCCGGCCACCGGAGGAGGGTCCCACATGGCGCGCAGACCTCTCCTGCCGCCCGCTGCTCCCCTCAGCAGTGTACTTCGGTCCTTCTGCCTGTTCTGCTCCCCACTCTGGTGAATTCTCTCACCCTCCCGCACTTCTGACTGTACCCAGTGCTAGTATAAATAAATAAATAAATCTTAAAAAAAAAAAAAAACCAATATATTTGCTTGAACAATCCAATAAATATATTTTACTAGATATATGTAAATATATGTAAATATATATAACTGTGAAAGTAGAACTATGCATATAAAGTTATTAGAGAAAGAATTGATTTATATTTTCAGGTTTTGGAAAGTCTGTTTCCTACTAGAAAATCCGTTTTTCTACTTAATACAAGAAAAACTGACTAGCGAAAAATGTACTAATAGCTGAGTTGGTGATTGTTAAAATTCTTATCGAAAGTGGGTTAGAAAATAATAAATGTCATACTCTGCAGTCAGTCTTTACCTTTAGATGTACATTTCAATATTTGACTTTGTTGTGGAAATTCACAAGTTAAAATCTGAGATTATGAAGGCCAGCTTGAAACTTCACAATAAAATTAAATCCCAGGATTGTTCTTTAATATTTCAACAAAGCGGATGTTTGATTTGGAGGTGCCAACGCGAGCCATTGCTGCATGCTCTCACTACGGTTCAGTTTAAAGACAGCTGTGAAATAGCTTTGTACTAATTAGATTTTTTTATATTAAATAAGAATGAAATGGAAATTGGTGATTTACTCGACAGATATTGGACCTTGAAAATTAAATAATTGCTCTAAAAACATTAGCTCAACTGATTTGAAATGCCTGCTTTGTAATTAGTCATGAGTGAAATGCACGTTCAGTTCAAGTTGTGCTTTTGGTTTCTATTAGCCTGACTGGATTAGAAAGTAAAGGGAACGTACAATCCATACATTTCTGCCAGCCTCTGAATTCCTTTCGCCCTGCCTGAAACTAGCTGATTTTTAAAAAAACTTTTATTAGCTTTTTGATTTTCCTTACTATTCTACCCTGTAATTAGGCAAATGTGGTCCTAATAATACAGTAAATGAGCCGTAGGAGGGCAGGAGGGGGGGGGGAGACAGTTGGGAGCCCATTTATCTGTTACTTCCTCGGCTTCCTGCTCTGCAGAGGCAGGGCTGGTGTCCAGGTGCGAGGCCGAGGCCAGCCCCTCTGGGATCAGGCAGGGAGAGGGCTGGGTGTGCACGAAGAGAACTCGTAGGGAAGACACGTGGCTGATGGATTCTGAGACACCAAGAGACCCCAGGTCTCATACCTGGTGTGTGTCTGTCTGCAGGTGTGTGCACAGGCGTGTGCATTTAACCAGCTGCGCCTCTCACCGGTCGGGGCCTCCTTTAGGTATCAGCAGCGCTCCCCAGCCTTTTCTGTGCGCAGTGACGACCACTGGGCTAGGCGGAGTGCACAGCAGGAGGGTGATGGCTGAGCCTGGCCCGTCCTGAGACACCTGCTTGCACGTAGCAGGCACAAGGACATGGCGAGCTGACAGCATCCAAGGGGGCGAGGACTAAACCGCACACTGCCAGTCTGGTCAGCAGCGTTGGTTTCAGGGCACTGGTAGCCCCTGTTTGACATTTATGCTCTGGGGCCCGCGTCAGGCACGCTGCGAGGGCTTAGCCGGTGAGTGACATCCATTCTGCAGTGTTCACGCGATCTGGTTCCCCCTTTTCTAAAGGGCCTTCTTTTTAAATATTTCCTCCCGTATTGGCAAGCCAAATTAGGCTCCTCTCGCTTACCTTCTAGCATTTGTTCATAGATACATAGAGTACATATAGTTCAGCGCCAGTACCTCAGTTTCTGTGCTTTTTGTTCACTGCATCACATCTGCTTTCTTTTTCCTTCTTTTCTGTCCGATTTTAATTCTCTATTTTGGAGCTGGTGCTAGCGTGCCCGCAGCTCAACATTCAAGAGGAACAAGAGAGAATAACGTGACATGTCTCCCTCGCTCCCGTGTGCCGGCTACCCAGTTCCCCGGAGTCAACCCATATTGTCAATTTCTTGACTTCCAGAAATATTTTAGTGACGTGCAAGGAAATACATATAAAAGATCTCCTGCTTTTACATGCTGGCCTGTTAGCCGCGCTTCTGCCTCACCTTCTTAATGGAACAATAAGTCCTAGAGCTCAAGCCGCGTTGTGTATACTAAAGAAAAATCACCTGGGGTTTCTCATCACCCTAAATGACTCCAAGGTGGCACTGATCACAGCCTCCCCATCACTGCAAGACTTTCTGCTTCGTTGTGATCTCTGACCTCCTGACTCGGGGCCGTTCTGCCCATCTACCAGCCCGTCTGTCTTCCCTGGCTGCCCAGACGTCACTGTTCCAACACACTCATCCCCCTTGGGACACTGTCTCACGGCCGCAGTTTTCTCCTGAGGATAAACAGCTCTGACCATGGCCGAGTCCACACATCCTTTCCCATCTTCTCACACCTGGGCTGCTGGGCGTGCCCGGGGAAATCACGCCGCTGCAGATGGACGCCACAACGCATTCGCGCTAACTCATCTCACGCGTCCCGTGTGCACGGAAGTTCCATGTCCCTAATAAGCTCCTCCACTCACGTCTCCAGTCATTCTCCTGCCGCTTTGGTTTCCAACAGACGCCATCCCACGAAGTCAGTCCCTCCTGCACCCCAGGTAATCACTAATCCACTCTGTCACCACAGATTAGCTTTGCCTGCCTGCGCTCTTCATAGGAAATTCAATCACACTCTCCACTCTGGTCTTTCGACTCAGCATGTTTTCCACGGAGGATCATCAGTTTATTATGCTGAATGCTAATTGTAGGGGCAGGACTGGGCCACAGCGCAGCTTCTCTGATCCAGCAGACGGGGTAAAGGAGGGAGTGAGTCCTCAGTGGCTTTCCAGGCTTTTACTGGGATTTACCAGGTACACGGCAGGCAGGGGTGCTGGGGGGCCGGGAGGCTTGCAGGCCTCCCAGCCCCCAGCAAGTCTTCACTCTGTCTGGGCTCTCCTGCCTTCTCTGCTGCTCTGCTCTCTCGTGGTCGTGGTTCTGCTTCTGCTTCTCTTCTTCCCTCGGCTTCCGTTCATTCTTGGCTTCTTCTGGCGCCCCCGTGACGCCGCCCTCATAAACTCAGTCTCTCAGCCCGGGTGTCCCCACTCCAGGTGCCGCCATCAGGCATGCATTCGGGACCCCAGGGTGCCCTCATCTGTCCTAATGGTGGGAGGGCAGAAAAGCCTGATATTTTTTCCTTACCCTACACTAATACTCTGCTGTATGAATAGACAATAATTCTAGTTTTAAATCTATTCACCTATTCACTTAGGAACAAACTGCATCACCTCTATTTTCTTTCTCTCTGGAACTTCTGCTGGGCAGACGATGGACTTGGTCTCTCAGTATGTAATACCTATTTTTGTCTATATCTTTGGCCCCCCCCCCGCCCCCGCCCCGGGAGAGTCCTTTGAATTTATCTTTTTTTTTTTTCTTAAAAAAAAAAAAGACAATTGTCTTTAGAGCACTTAGATTTACCACAAAATTGAGAGGGAGGTACAGAGGTTGGCATATAGCACAGACCCCCACAGGCACAGCCTGTCCTATTATCAGCATCACTCAGAAGAATGGGGATCCTGATGTGGAAGAGGAGAAGAAAAAGTGACTTTTCCCATCCCTCGCAATGCTACGTTGCTCTAAATTTTGACGTGACACGCTACAGTTGTAAAATTCACTCTGTATTCTATAGTCACATATTTAAATCTTCCTAAATACCAAGTTACAGAGAATTTCCATTTGCCAGCAAATTCTGACTGAAATCACTATCTAGTTATTCTTTCCTGGCCTGAGTCTTGGAGCCAGGACTTGCTGACTTACTAGACTGGGTGCATAGGTTTTTATTTATTCGTATTTTTTCTGACGCTTTGTTCATTTTCTCTATATTCCACATATAGGTGAAATCATTGATACTTATCTTTTTCCTTCTGACTTATTTTGGTTAGCCTAATCCCTCCCAGCTCACCCATGCTGCTGCAAATGGCATAAGCTTATCTTTTTTTGATTGCTTAGTAGAATTCCATTGTGTATACGACCACATCTTCTTGATCCAGTCATCTGTTTGGGGGCATTTACATTGTTTCCATAACTTAGCTATTGTAAATAACGTGATGATGAAAATAGGGGTGCATTAAATCAAAATCCTTTTGATTTAATGTTTTTGTGTCCTATAGGTAGATTCCCAGGAGTTGAATGACTGGGTCATAGTAGATCCATTTTTTAGTAATTTGAGGGTCCTCCACACAGCTTTCTCAGAAACATCTTTAAAGACTCATCCCCAAAACAAAGAAAATGAAGAAAAAGATAAACTGCTGGGGGGCCTCCCTGGTGACGCAAGGGGTTAAGCACCGCACTATGAAGCAATCCACAGCCTCTGAAGCACGAGTTCAATCCCCGGCCGGCCAGGGAGCTACCCACATGGCGCAGCAGACCTCTCCTGACTCCCCCGCTGCTCCCCTCAGCAGTGTACTTCGGTCAATCTGCCTATTTGGTTCCCCGCTCTGTTTCTGGTGGATCCTCTCACCCTCCTCACCCCTGGCCTGTACCCCAGCTCTTTATGCATAAATAAATAAATCTTAAAAAAAAAACCAAACACATACACATAAACTGCTGGGACTACATCACCCGAAAAAGCTCCTGTGCAGCAAAAGAGATAATAAGGAAGAGGAGGAGACACCCCACAGATTAGGACAAAAGCTTTGCACTCTACAAAGCCGACAGAGGACTGACACCAAAGATCTACAAAGAACTTACGGACTCAACAGAAAATCAAGAATCCAGTCAAAACGCGGGCGTGCGTGTCTGCTTACCACGTGCGCCTTGACG